CCTTCATCGACAACGTCGCCGGCCAATGGGCACTCACCAAAGGGTACGGGAAGGACCCCGCCGTGAACGGCGTCTTGGCGGCCTTTTGGTCCACGGCGGCTCTGTCGGAATGGCTCCCCGACTTCCGTCGGGTGCCGTCCAAAGCCAACGTCTCCGACGCAGTGTCGAGAGGGGACCTTCACACGGCGGAGAGCTCCGGCTGGGAGCGGGTTCACACACCCGTCGAGTCGATCCTCAAGGTGCTCTCCCGGGCCGCCGCCGACCTGGACTTCGCGGTGAATGACGCCGCCGACGAGCTACTGAATCTGGCGGTGTGAGCGGGCTAAGCCGGCGCAGAGTGGGTGAGGGGAGCGCCGGGCGGCAGCTAAAAGCGTCCCCCGGCGCCGGCTTGCCTCGTACTGGCGATTGCGACGGACCCGGCGTGAATGCGCTTCAAACCATCCAAAAAGAAAGGGTTCGTCCGTCGTAGCTCTTTTGGGTACCCGTCGGGGAAAACGGTTGTCGTGTAGCACATTTATGTGCGTAGGGACAACCGTCGAATCGACGTGGATGCTGCAGCCGCTGTCTGCTCCACGTCCCCCGACGATTTTCAGCTCCCACCCTCACCGCCCTTATTGGGGGAGAGATTTTTCATTTGGAAACCTTCGGGTCGTCGCTCGCTGGCGGGCAGCGGGCCGGGGCAGCTAAAAGCGTCCCCCGGCGCCGGCTTGCCTCGTACTGGCGATTGCGACGGACCCGGCGCGAATGCGCTTCAAACCATCCAAAAAGAAAGGGTTCGTCCGTCGTAGCTCTTTTGGGTACCCGTCGGGGAAAACGGTTGTCGCATTGGTTGTCCTTGTTTCGGAGCTCCCAGTCCAATAATTTGTCCAGTATTTGGAGCTGTGTATGCGGAATTGTGTATTTCAACTGCAACAGCTTCTCACATAAGCCAACCCAAAAAACTGAAAACCTACGACCTTCGAAGACAATCATCGCATGGATGTTGCTGTATACATCCTGACAGCTACAATGCTGGCTTATCCAGATTAGTGATCATTGCGGCTGAAGCCCACGAGCCCCCAAAGGATAAGGATATAATTTAGTTAAGATTCCCAAGGAGATGGTGCTTTGCTATCATTATTGTATATGCAGACATATGGAGATCCACCTGCAATATTAATCATTTTCGCTGTCTTGTTGCTCATACCATCTAGTCATAGGTCGACTGCCGTGAAAACACATTATTTGCACATGCACACACAAACATACACCGACACGCACAACGATTGTCATCAGCTGTAAACAATACCGCTTGTTGTATCTATGCTGCAGGCAATGCACCTGTATGCCGCAACCATTCTAATATGGTCTTGTTAAAGCCCATGATGCACTTCATCGTGTGTCTTATGGATATCTCCGTAAACTAAATCCTGTTACCCAAGCAAAAGTATAAGAACTATACTATGCCTAAAACCAACTTTTTAAAATGTGACATGATCAAGAAGTCAAGTATCTCTTGTGGTGGAAGTAAACATGGCAGATTACATTGGCAGCTGCATGCCAGTTTTGGCAAGAGTAATGGAGCCGTCATAATGAGGCACCCAATCGGCAGTTGAACAGGATATTCGCCGCATTCCTTCAATGTAAAAGGCATGTTATGTGTTGAATATGACCATATCAACATAGAGCACCAGGAAATCTCTTCAACATATCGTTATGATATTGAGCCATCCGTATAGATCATCGCAGTAGGTGTCCTTATAAGATGCCCGCATCGTTCCGGCTTCCCCCTTTACGCCTTCCGGCCGCGCGGGCAAGCGGGATTGCACCACATATTGGTTAAACCTCTCGATAGACCTTTCTAAAAGCCCGGAAACTTATTCTCACACATAAACCCAATCTCCCATGAAGTTACAACAGTCACAGCTAGGTATGAATAGGTCGCAAGATGCAGGCAGCATCTCATGACACATATCTTCTCTATGAGATTTGACTTAGATGTCCTTGTGCATCCCGTGAGCTTGCCAAGCTCGTATGGTATCTCCCTAGCACCTCATGCTACATGTTTACGAGTGTGTTACGCCATATCATTCTATGATGCGCATGGTTCACGTGAAGATTGATACTTCACCATGACGTGCTCATGAGATATATTGTTTCCATATCTAGCCAGTTTTGGTATAGTGATATTCAGATTCCTGCGAGTAGCCGATCCTGATCACAGGAACATAAACCAATAGGGATTTCCAGTTGTAAACTCCCCGACAGAGCCCACCATGTTGCTCGAACATCGCACAAGTGGAATATTCAAACTCCCGTTTTCATGCACCCATAAGATAGTCGGATTCGGATCCCTTACATCGCAACCTGTCAATGAAAGGCGAAGACAGTGTTTGTTGTATATGTTATCGAGGAGACTGCTCATACATGTATCTGACATCCGACATATATACCGACCATATGTCCTCGCATATGCTACCACATCATATGCGGCGTCAAACATTGTTGTTATCGCTTGACTACTACAGACCCTTCAACTGGTTGTCCACCTGGCATTGCTCAGGCAGTGGTTGTGTCGTGAGTTCGCATCCGTCGAATGTATGTTAATGTAAGGTCTCCTCGTCATATGATGTCATCAGTCATAAAGAGTTTATCATCTTTGTGAGATGTAATCTCAGATATCGACTTTTCTATACGCAGTAAGTCTCTGAGGTCTTTTATAGATTCTATAGATGTTTATCTGTTTAGTTTGTAATCTTATTGATCTTAATATTCGGCATAGAGTATCTACTCACTTGTAGTGAGGCTTGCATGGGCGCAGGACACCAGGTTTAAATCATGTGGCTCTTGGTTGGTGTCCGCTCCCGCAGTATGGCGCACCATGGCGCTGGCTGTCGCTTGCCTTGCTGTCCCCCGGGGGGGGGGGGGGGCAGCCACCAAAAAAAAAAAAAATCTGGCGGGGGGGGGGGGGGGGGGGGCAGCGCCAAAAAAAAAAAAAAAATGATTTTGGATTTGATTTTTTTTTTTTTTTTGGCGCTGCCCCCCCCCCTCCCTCCAGATTTTTTTTTTTTTTTTTGGGCCGCGCCCCCCCCCCCGCCTTCCCCTTAGTAGCAGTGTTCTCGCCCTTCGGGCCTAAACCAGCCAAGAAGTGAGTCAAACCTCCTGCTTTATAGTCACGTCGATAATTGAAACAAGCACATGTATGGGTATACGTGCAAGCATCCTATTTAAGAATATGCATATGAGGATAACGATATCGTGTGCACGAGTGATGTTGCTTCAAATCTGAAGCAAACCAAAAACATGAAAAACAGGAATGCTGTAAATATGGGGCCCGTAATGTCTTATTTTCTGTATATATACTGTATTCAAGGACTATCGTATATACGGTTATAGGGGCATTCTACAAGGTCTTCTATAGAGTGTTCCAGATGGTCTTCCATGAGGCACACGATATACATAGGGTACTATGTGTTCCATAAGGTATTTTGTAGGGTACTCTATGTGTAGTTGATTCCGGAATGACCCCATACCTCGCCTGCCTGCCGAGTGCGAGTGACAAAATGTGGTATTCTGTAAGGTACTCTATTTATTCTATAGATATACAGATTATGCCTGAAAGTGTATGATAAGGTAGTCGAGAGGCTCTAGGGTATTCAATAAGGCATTATTAGGGTATTCTATATCAGTGTAGTCTATATGAAAGTTTTTAAGATACGTAGCGGGAGGTTTTCTAAATGATATCCTATAAAGTATTCTGTATAGTGTCTTGTATTGTATAGAGTGCCCTATAGGGTATATGTAAGGCGTGCAGGGTGTATCATATATAGGTGGTCTTGTATAAGGTATTCGACAGGATATTGCAGATGGGTTTCTATAAGATATATAGGTTATGAGAGTGGGATCTTGCAAAGTATTCTAAAATGTATTCAAAAAGGTCTTATATTGGTCAAATCAAAGGCATAGCACCCTGGAAATATCGATCGATTTCGTGTTCACGGACATCATCTACAATCTCGATGCGTCTTATATATGGGAGGTGTAGAAATAGGATCCTGTTTTCATGTCTATACTTGTCGTGATACTATGTTATATGAGATGACACATCTCTGATCTCCTGTTGCGCGTTACCTTCAGAGCCCATACTGCTGCATGCAAAAGCCTATACACACACAGAACATACGTGCAAGCTTGCGTTCTTTTGCAACACGAGATGAAGTCGTACGCGAATGCATGTCGTGTGGAGAAGCTCAGGGGTCTATATAAAGGAAATGCAGAATCTAGGATTTGCGACATCCCTGATCAAATCGAAGCTGATTTAGTGATGGGCTAGTCTTCACCTCGCAGCTTGGGCAGGACGAGAGGGAAAAATTATTAAGTCAAGACTTTATAAAGAGAACGTAATACGTTGTAGAATATCCACGATTTCGCATCCGGCTCTCAAACACATGAAAACGGTAGATCTTTGAGGGGGGGGGGGGTAGCAAATATATATATATATATATATATATATATACATATATATATATTTGTATTTATATTACCTCTACCTATACCTCCATATCTTGAGCCATCGCATTGCTGTACCTTTATCTGTATATCTCTATATCTGAATCACTGCTTCTTTGTATCTCGACATATCTGTATACTATATCTCTATATATCTAAATATCCATATATTTATATATCTCTATATATATATATGTATATATATATATATGTATATATATATATATGTATATATATATATATATATCTATAAGTCTATATATCTATATATCTACATATCTACATGTCTGTAGATCTAGGAACGTATACCTCAGTATCCCTGTATCTCTACCTACTGCTCTCCCTATGTATGTATGTACGTACGTATGTATGTATTTCAATATTTTGTATGTGTGTGTATACATGGTCTATACATACACACAGGCATACAGAAATAACACATGCCTCAGTCGTGTCATTTTGTGTTACTCTCTGGCTGTTCGAAGCCCGGTTGCCAGCTACCCTGATCCGAGGTATCGTGAGAGGCAATTTCACGGCGAATGGTCAAAACCATGGGAAGCCAACGTACAAGAAGGACGACCTAGGGTGCGGTGCTTGGGATACATCAACATGGTGTGGGTTGAAAAGTCACTAAGTCGCCAACCGGGTGCTGTTACGAGCACGGCAACACGGTGGCAACTCTTGCCCTTGAGCCTTGCAAAAGTGTTTCGTTCCCCATGCAGGATCACCAAGTCAACGGCTTGGATGTCATGCTCTACTACTGGGACGAGTCGCAGACTCAGCCCCAGCCCTTCGCAGTTGTCGTTTCGTGCTCAGGTGCAGGGGGGCCAAGGCCCTAAACATGTTTCACCACCGGGTCCGGGCGTTGGGCGTGCTACCTTGCTTCAGAGGTCCGTCTATGCTGTAGGTCCGATACCAGTGCAAAGTGTAAGAGGCGAAGGAGACCAAACAAAAACCGTAAGCTGAAGAGCTTGTGACCTCGACCGCCCCATCTCCAAACGGCGCAGGCGTGACGGTCCCAACTTTTGCGGCTGGTGGCCTGGAGCTCTGCCCTCTTGAAGAGATTCGATGTGGGGTGTCGGGTTTCAGGATTGTCGGGGTTCGTCCATTCCGGCCCAGGCCCCGAGATTTGCCCTTAAACTGTGAGCCGATTCTCGCGCATTTCTGCAAGAGATGCCCAAAGCCCCTTCGGGCCGTTCCTAAGGCCCTTGGAGGCCCTTTCCCCGTTCCTAAATATGGTCTCTTATGGGGCGAAGATTCTCGAGCAGGAACTCATCCCCATAGATCCGTTTTCTCAGAGTCTTCGACCGCGCGTTTTGCAACTGCAGAAGGTAACCTGTGAATATACTGCTGGCGGGCGGAGACATACTTAGTAAAAAAAAGTCAGGCCCAGCTGGAACATGCATGCGTGTCGCAAGTTCCAAGAAACCTTGCTTTGTCAGACGCTGGTAAACACATGTCTGGCTCCTTCAACCATCGCCGCACCCACGAGGATGTAAGCATGCAGTTATGTTTGCATGATTTTAGGGACGGGTGGAAGGCCACTGAATCCTGGTTTTCTGAACAGGTTCGGTCCCAAGGTCGGCGGCGACCAGGCAGATCCTGCAGGAAGACAGCTCGGGATTTAGACGTTAGCGGGTTGAAGGCTGTTTATCGAGGAAAACTGCCGAGGTTGAAATGTCTGTGTGGATCCTGGCAGGATAAAGGGCAAAAAGCCATTCAACCACACGCAGACCTTACCTAGTAACCTAGTATTGCCGAGTGTGCGGGTCAAAGAAAGAACCGGCCATTGCATGCAAAGGTTGTAGACATGGATGCACGTGGGGCGCAACATGGACATGGTTGCCATGAGCCAATTCTCTTCTTGCGCAAGATGGATGAGCCCGCATCCGACAACTATAGTTGCCAGTGGTCTGCGACTCCCAGTACTGGTATGCAAGCACGAGGATGCTGAGGAGCTGGACTTTGGAGACTGCGCTCTTGTCTAGCGCTCTTCTCCGACAGGAGAAACAACTACAGCAACAGCACGCTCTCCACAAGCATTTCCTCCGAGACTGCCTTCTCAAACCCTTGTACAGGGCCAGGGTTGGAGGTCCGACCCTGGATTGAGTTTGGAAGTCCCAGAGTGCAACTTAAGTGTTTCATAAACGCAGCCCAATCTTGGAGCCTTCTTCTTGCAGCGAGATTTGTCACACATTGCAGGGGAGGCGCAGTGTCGCGTAAACGCAGATCGTATGAGAGCGTTTTGCATTGAAGGATTTGGAGCAGTCAGGTCATCCAGCGGGATTTTGGAACTAATGGAGGTAGGACACAGGGGATGATGAAAAAGACAAGTTTGCATTTCCTGCGCCAGGTGTGGGCCTACCATCCGAGCCGCCAGTCTCTGACGCTAGGGGCCCACAGGAAGGACAAACTTTTCTGGTTTGGCTTTTGTTTGGTGTTGCTGATGTTGGGTTCAGGCGGGCGTTATAGAGGGGTCACGTTTGAGGGTCTCCAATTGATGGCGATTTCTTCCTCGCATGAGGCGCGCAGTCATCCTTTTATGCATAGGACCAAGCCCACTTAGTAGGTAGCAGGTAGTCTAGAGTTGGGTTGTAAGTTTCCTTATCACTGGGATTGACTTAATGTTCGTCGCCTGAAGCCTAAGCCGGTGTTTTCTGAGTCTTTGAGTTGTTTGGTCGAGGAGACGCACACGGGCCTGTTTCATGTATATCATGTCTTAGCAGTGAGAGAGACCTGATCCTGATTCGTCTTCTCACCCTTCTTAACCAAGGTTCGGAGCCTGAGGAGAAGCAGCAAGTATCATTTCTAGCTTTTGCTTCTGCTGAGGCCTCCCACCAAGGGATGGAAGGTGCCGTACGACGGCCCTGTGGATGACAGCTTCTCTATCTGCCGCTCGCCGAAAAAGATTGGCCTGCCCCCTTCATGGGCAGTGAGGGGTTGCCGTTGGGTTTGGGCTGCATTTGGAGATGTTTGGTGTTTAGTGATTAAGTCGTTTAAGTTTTAAGTTAGCCCATGGATCGGCTGGATGCTGTCTTCATATTTTGTCTAGTTTCCAGCTCGCGCAACAATCCATGTTTTTGTTCTTTACTTTCCTATACAAACTGAGGAAGCGATCGGTAATGCAGGAATTCTACGACTCACTGTTAGTACCCAGCGAGTACCATGGACATTTATCAATATGTTTTTCTGATGTTCTTCAAAACACAACCCAAGCCATCCGGAAGAATTCCTCGAAGGCTTTGACCAGGAGGGGAGGGTGCAAGGCGGGGTTTGAGGCTTCAGTTTCTTGCCAGGGTCGGGCACGAACTTCATGTTACATGGTGCACATTCATTATTGCGTAAATGCTGCCTGCCGGGAGATATTCTGTCAATGTGATGGTCCATTATGAACGGGGACAGTATCTGCCTCCTTTCTTGTTCCGGTGTTACGGATAGCCCCATTCCCAGGTCCGACTTCGCTAGCCAATGCGAACGCGGCCCAGCAGGCTCCCGTTGGCAAACTTGAGTAGTTTCAGATTGTGGGGGAGCAGCGACCAAAGCCCCGGCGGCAAAAACGGCTTTCGGGTTTAGGAATTGCAGCCTTAGACCGAGCTCCAATTAAGCCTGTGTAAACAAGAGTTCAGGGTCCAGGGTGCTGTTATCAAGCATAGGCAAAGGCGCAGTCCTCTTGGTGTGGCTGCTTCGGGAGGTCCGCAGGGAAGTTCAAGGTCCAGGCACCTCAAACTACCGATTTCAGGGAAGCTTCCAAGCCCGAGTGCTAGTCCCATTTTCTATGGTCTGAGGTTAAAGTCACGCACGCGACTCATGATTGTCTTCTCCTACTCAGCCCCCCATCCTAGAGCGGCCCTGGCCAGGGCGGCCAGGGCTTTCAGGCTCCCGGCAAGGTGGGGTCCTCTTGGGGGTTTCAGGCGTTCAGGGCTTTAGGCCACACTCTGACAGATATGGCCATGATGGAGTTGCACAGCTCCCCTGAAGACAGCTAGGCTGCTAGGCTAGACTGAGTGGCCGGGTGCCATCTTGATGAGTGTCGTCCTCACAAGTAATCACGAAAGCTAGCTCTGTTGAGCTTGCGGGAGTTGTCCTTTAGCAATTCACGGCACTAGGGAAAAAACAGGGTTTGCACCTTATCAGGTGGGACGTCCAAGAGTTAAGGTCGGGGGTGGGGGGGGAGGGGGTGCCGCCCCCCCCCCCCTCACCTCGTTCATGAAGTATCTTCCAAGCCTCCCTCCCCTCCCTCCTTGAAGGTTGCGGCGCGTGGCATACGGTAGAGGGGGGGGGGCCCCTCCCCCCTACCCTCAAGTCTCTCCCCCTCCCCCGCCCTCGCAAGGTCCCTCAGTTTGCTCTTGTTTGAAGTCTGTTGCTTGCGCTGCGGCTTGGCTCCAGCTCTTCCGTCTCTCTCGTGGCCCCACGCCTTTTTTTCAGTTGTAGTCTTCATGTCAAACGTCCCCCCCATGCAAGTCATTCGCATCGCCTCACTAGTCACCCCGTGTTCCCAGCTACGCTTCCTTTCCCCTAGCTTTCGTCGCCCTCTTCTCAAGTCACTTCTTGCTGGATCTAAGTCGCCAGTTTCGATTTGTAGTCTCCTTGGCGAAACTTCGGGACCTGGTGAACTATTTGCGGTCTCAGTACTGCTTGTGCCCTGAGCAGTGCAAACTATTTGAGGTTGGAGCTACCCTCAGACTAAACTGCAAAGGTGTCAGCTAAGCTCTGATACCCTTGGCCCGAAACCTCAGGGCGGAGGGTATCAAGCACCCGGAGTTGGCGCCTCGGAGTCGGTGTGAAGCCCTCTTTGGCCTCGTGTCTGTGTTTCCTTGGTGCTCAGCTCTGAGACGTTTTTGCAGCGCTTGACGTGCCAAGGCCTATGCCGGTCAACAGCAGCCGGGACCGGGTGCTGGCGGCAAGGTGTGTGGACGGGGCTTGCATAAACCCGGCAGAGGGGTGTTTGTCTTGCTTGAAAAATTAAGGATCAGGGGCTGCATCCCTTGAGCACACTTTCATGAAGAAGCATCGGTCAACGGCTGATGAGGGTCTATTAGTTGTCTTCCTGCCAGGGCAGCTATGGCAACATGCCCCAGAACGAACAGCAGCGCCACGAACTGCAAGCGCAGAACCGACGGCAACACGAGCAGCGGTGCCTTTGCGTGTTAGTGGTCATAGTTGAGGGGTCCTGTTTGGACTTTCGGGGTTGCAGGGCTTTGACTGCCGTGATTGTTCAGAAGGTTTTCGGGGAGCTGGGAATCGGATTGTGTGTTCCTTACCAGTTACAAAATGAGGGGCCAGTGTGCTGGGCAGTCAGGGCTTGGCCTCAGAGTTTGCGGGCGGACTTTGTCGGGCTGGGTTTGGAGGAGTCGCGGATGTGGTAGTTGGTTTGGGAGCGTCGAAGCAAGCCAAGGCGCGCAATGCAGCGGCGGGAGGAGGAGATGCGACAGCAGCAGCAGGCGAGCCCGCGACAGTTTTCAAGCTGGGCAAGCACGACGACAGTCTGTGCCTCTGTGCCGTTGGCAAGTAGCTGTAGCTATGAGAGGTCAGACAGGCTTGACCATCGACGTCGTACCTGCCGTCTCGACAAACTGATCCACGCTCTGGGACACATGGCAATTCCCTGCAGCTTGCTGGAACGCACAGCTTAGCTCCCAGCCTTTTGTACCGTGACAGATACTAGGCACGTCCAAACCCAGACTTGCACCGCAAAGTTATATCTTACAGCCGAGTGTCGAAAGCGGGAGCGAGGATTGGTGAAGTGTTGTGGCTGGGGTTGATGGTTTGACGTTGGTGCCGAAGCAAATGTCTAGCTGATGATTATCCGAAAAGATGTGTCTCCCCCAGCTTGTTGTGGTGTTGCGCATGTCCTTGAGGTTGGTTGACTATGCAGGTGTTGGTCCAATGTTGGTCGAATTTTTTCAGTGTACTGATTACTGATCCAGGCGGAGGCCATGCGCAAAGCCGCGGCACAAAAGATGCAAATGGAGGACCCCCGCCGAAGGGTGAACAAGAGGAGGGGACCACAGGGCCCGGAATGCCATCTGCACATCATCGAAGCCACAGAACAAATACCAAGGGCTGCTTATCCTGTGGCTTGCGATGCGGGAGCCAGGGAAACGTGGAGGTCGCTGGCATCTTTCAGCAATCAATGCGGTGCCGAATTTATTGGGATCTGAATAGCAATCCTCGGCATAGGGTGTTTCTCTTAGCATCTCTTAGCCTTCGAACTTTTCATATGAATCTCGAGAACCTGGCCGCTTGAACGAGGAGGAGCAGCGCCGTGTCGCCGAGCAGAAACGGAAGGAGCAGGCCGGACTTCGACGTGACAATCGCCAACCGCTTCTCTGTAGCATGCTCAAAAGTCTCAGGATCGCTCTGAGGATTCTGGTAAGACCAGATTGCCTCCTAAACTCCTGAACGGGCAGCCTGATATCCACACTCCACTTGAAACCCGCAAGCTTTTGCTGCCTGTCAGATTACGCACCATGCCTAGGCGACATTGACGCGACCCCTAACCATAAACGCAATGCCTGAACCTGCCGCAGAATCCTTCAAGACTGCTGAAGTCTGCAATCGGGAGAGTGCAGTGCAGGTGCCAAATTTGAGCCCAAACCTTCTCCTCGCCCGCCTTTCCCAGGAGGCGTGTAGCTCAATCCGCGCGGTCTGCCAGAAGATGCGCATGGTGCAGGAGGGCTGAGCTTTTGGGGCGTAGCAGATGGCGACTTCACAACTTGCAGCGCTCAAGCCCCTGGTGCGCAGCTCCCGACACTGTTTCAAACACACCTCAAAGCAAAGCCATGTAGCTGTCTGCATCTCCGGAAGTGGGTGCTAACATCCTCCGTTCGAGTTGGGCACCGGGGAGCTATGCTTCGACCAGGTGCGGAGATCTGACATTGGTCAAAACCCTAGGCCCGAGGGAAGAAGAAGCATCCTATGATCTGGCCAGGAGGAGTCCTTCCCACAGCTTCAGCAGGCCCGTGGCCATCTTGCTTTCCCCATGTTCTTCCGTTGCGGTTCTACGCTTCTTCCAGCTTCTTAGCCATCAAATTTGGCAAAGCAAGCTGTTGCTGGTAGCAGGCATCCCTTGCAACGCAAGCATCAGCGAAAGAGACCTTTGTGCCAGGAGCTGTACGACGTGATGCAGTGCTTCGTCTGCAGATTGGGATAATCTTTGTGTGATGGCGCTCTCGGCTCTTTCTCCAGCTGACAACGGCTGAATTGCAACAGGAAGGAGTTGAACAACTGCGGCATGCACATGGCCAAGATCCGCGAGGCAGGTGACTGGTCACGTGCAGCGGTTTTCAAGACGGCGGTCAGTTTATATCGCATGGGTATAGCTGTTGTCTCAAGCCTTTCCAGCTGGCAGAACCTTGTCTTGAACCTGAAGTCTCGCACTTTTAAGGTCAAAAATCCGGGTGCAGCCGGCACACCCAGAAATTGTAGCGGGATGCTTGGGCACGACTGCGTCCCTGTCCAACAGTTCTCTAGGTCAGTTGGCACTGGCTTTGGCGTAAACATGCGTAAGTCCCGACAGTAAACCGTAAACCCGACGTCCCATAGCACAACTGCAGAGAGAGAGAGAGAGAGAGAGAGAGAGAGAGAGAGAGAGAGGGAAAGAGACAGAGAGAGATAGAAAGCGAGAGAGAGTAAGATGGCCGAAAGCATAAAGTCTTGAGATCCCTGCAGTGCAGGAGTGCGACCAAATCGTGGACCAGGCTAGACGTCGACTGCAGGCCTTCGAAATTGCTGGGTTGGGCTGGGCAGGTTTCGGAAAGGGAGCATCTCGCCCTGACTCGGTGGCTGAGCAGCACTCCCACAGTCACCGGAAGCACTGGGGCGTGAAGCGACAGACAGCACCTGAAGTGTGCATCCCACCCAATCCCCCAGACATAAGCTTGAAACCCTATCGAGGCTTCGTGTGGGACTCCCAGCACACCAGACATGCGCACCAGTTGTCCAGCTGGCAAAGGAGGCCGCAGAAGTGAAGGCCTTCCAGGAGAAGAAGAAGGCCCTGCAGGGACCCAAACTTTGGGAAAACCCTGATCTCCAAGCTTCAGAGCTAGTGGGGACCTGGTGCTGGTTGATGGGATATAAATGGGTGCTTCTTTGGCTGCAGCTGTGGCACGTGTTTTCTTGATCTCTGGGGCTGCCAGGCCGAGATGCTCGAAGCTCACAAAGCAGCGTGCGCAAAGGCGGAACAGCTCGCTCGAGCCCCGGGCGCAGCGTACCTGTCTTGGGCTTCGAGTCTGTCTGGCTTTCGGACCATGTTCAGGATTCGAGTTTGCATATACGTAGAGTACATTTTCGTACATCGTACACCAGACGTGCATTTTAGACCAGCCAGGGTGTGAGAAGGGATGCCCACCGCCCACCGTTGACGCTGGTTACTTAGAGCAGTTCCCGCTATCTTCTTCCAAGGTCGCTGATTTCACGGCGAAGGCGCAATTCTTTATGCTCTTTCCCTCTCTCTTGGGCTCCCCACCCATGCTAACTTCCATAGCGTCGGTGGACAACGGAACTGGCATCTAGGGCCCGCACAGGCTGCGTGGGTGTGCGTGGGTCAATGAGGTTGGTAAATCAGACGTGCATGCACAGCGAGATCCAACTGTATCTGCTTGGAAATTAGGCGAGTGCCGAAAATCCGGAATCGCTGAACCCGATGAGCTTACAGGGTGCATTGCATGCAGAGAGAGTATGCCAACAGGTGTGGGATCTGGACCGCATGAGTTCTTGGTACTTCTTAGATTGGAGTTTGGGAGCGTTGATTTCGCCCGCTGGGCTCCATCAGCCTCGACTGGAAAGTCCGAGCTGCGACCAGCAGAGTCAACCGACGTTTGATGCCACCCAAAGCAACAGCTCGAAACCTTCGTTCCCTCCTCCAGGTAGAAGCCGCTGAGGAAGCTGTCGCGCACACAGTGAGCTATTGCTTGAAAAGTGGAGATTTCGGCTTTCAGCGTTGCCTTTGAACTGTTTTGCGTATTTTTGCTTAAGCCCGTCCCGACAGACTCAGAGAATCAGCCCCAAATCAACGGAATCATGTCAAGTGCAAGCAGATGACGAAGTACCTAAGCCAAAAGGCCACGGAGATGGAAGTTTTCATGAGCTTCACACTGTCCCGAATATTGCAGTAGGTTATAAAGGATTCTACAGTAGTGTATTATATTATATGATGTTATGGGCTGCTGTAGACTTTAACAGCAGCTTCGTGTGACGAACTCTTTGGTGTAGTTTCCGTTCGCTGCCCGAGGCGAAGGCCTTGGTCGAGAAGGCGGAGCCGCAGCGGGCCCAGTCTCGGGTTTCGGAGACTTCGAAATTCAACCGACTATCCTTGTCGGGCTGCAGCAGGACCCTGCCTGACGGGATGAGATTCCTCCTAGGTCCAGGGTGTCCAGGCTAGACTCGAGTTAAGATTTGGTGTTTTCTGTCTGCTGCGTGTATCGGCGACTGTGGTTCTCGGGCTTGGCGGCGCAAGTCTGTTTCATCAAAAGCACTAATTTGTGCCTGAGGCATCTAAGCGCATCCCGGATCCCAACCTGTCAGTGTCAGTGACAGGTTCTCGTTCGGTCTGTCAGCGGCTTCGAGTCTTTCTTGTTGGAAGTCGGTTGCATGGTGTTACACCAAGGTGTGGCGCTTGACTTTCGTTGGCAGTTGGTGCTGTGTGGTGTGGTCTGGGAGTGTCCTTTCTGTTCTGTTCATTCTGTCCTGTTCTGGTCTGGTCTACCCACCTAGAGACGGATAGGTTGGTGGATAGATGGAGAGACATCGATGTCCAGTCGAGTCTGGGCTAGAAACACCCAAACGCTGCCAGAAAATTGCTTTCGTCAGGTTCACCTCCGATGAGAGCGTGATGAACTTGGGGTCAGAAGACAATATCCTGGAGGAGGCCAGCAAAATCGACGAGGCGCTGGTATGGGCTTAGGAAATTGGGTTCGTGGTTGCAGGGATTCAGGGCTAAGTGCATTGCAGTCACTGGTTTCGATGGTTTCAGGCGCCCGTTGGTTAAAGCGCTTGAGGGAACTGTAGGGCTTCGGAGAAGTGCCAAAGAGATAGAGGTCACGCGAGATCGTAGACTTATGTTGCTGCTGGGGTCCGAACCTTGCCGGCGATGCAAACCTGCTAATCTGTAGCTGCCGGAATGAGTTCGAAGCCGAGACAGCCTCGCATAGTTGCAGGCCAGGGATGAAGCAGCAGCGCGAACTGCTGAGTGCCCGGTGCCAAGCTCCGCTGTTGTCTTCAGTTTTTAGCACGGGAGCCGGAGTTGAGTTCATGGTGGGCGGCTGTCAGTCAAAAATGACTTTATGACAAGGATTGAAAGAACTCTAGACGCGCCGAGTTCTTCGTTTGCGAGGTATGAGGCATTATGAGGCGTTGGTGGGTCTCACATCGTATTTCTTCGGTGTGAGGTAGTGCCTTGAAAGCATGCCTGGTCTGCGTTCAACCCCGGACTGCTTGTGGACGGAGGCCAAGAGTACCTGAAGGAGAACCGTTCGGCCATGACAATCCAGGATATGCATCGCCCTCAGATGCCGGCTGACCTTGGACGAAGTTTTGCGGTCTTGGACCGCCCAACAAAAACCTTCCTCCGGATCGCAAACTTGAACCTTTCCTGCATCAGCCGCAGAAAGCTCGACCTGTCAAACAGGCCTGGCCAGCCGCCGGCTGAGGTGAAGCAGGCTACGAAAATCGAGATAAGATTTAGGGTTCAGCATTTTTGGATCCCAGGTTGCAGATCTACAGGATTCCATTCAGGGTTTCAGGTCTTCCGGTTAGTGCTCGGGAGTCAGGGTTCTGATGTCCATCTCCGCTGTTTCTCTGCAGGGTTTGGGGCATGCATAGTGTAGAAGGCCGGCTAAGACTTCAGAAGCAAGATGCGTGATGTGGGTTGGCAGCGCCCCTCCAGGTTTCCGGCATTGCTCCTACTTGTAAAACCGTGGAAACTGAGGTCCTTCTTCGCTTTAGTCTTCAGGCTTTCCGGGCTCGTGCCCAGGGATATGAAAGGGTCGGCCTTGAACCTCAACTGATCAGTCCGCCAACATCTACACCTCACCATCGGCTAGGCCTTGCAGCTAGCTGTTGCAGAGTGGCGAGAAATGGCTCCGAAGGTGCACGCCGGAGTCGGCCACGTTACTTGGAGCCTTTTCCAAGTTTTGTTTTCTGCTGAGGCCTCCCAGGAGGCTTCGGCTTTGGCTTTGGATGCCGGAGCAAGTTGGGACTGGCAGACCAGGGGTGCGCACTATGCTGCACAAGTGAAGGGCACCGAAGTCTTTGCTGATGAATCTGACGATCTGCAAAGGGCCGTGCTTGCATACAGGATGCGACAAGAGCGGGCACTGGAGGTTATGCAGAAGATCCGCCGCGGCGAAGAGCGCAGTGCCGCATGGCTTCCGTCCTTAAAGAGTGTGAAACTCAAGGAAAAGGTCTTCGAGGATCGAGGAGCAGCTTTGTCGGTGTATACGGGTCATGACGCCAGCATTGCTGTAAGCCAAGATGGTCGAGTCCTGTGCGTTCTGGAAATGGAGCGACTGCTTGGAGTTCGTTATGCTCGCCTTAAGGGTCAGGGGTCGGAATTCTGGGAGCAGATTTTCCATGCTATTTCTACTGTGAGGGATCATTGTCCTGGAGGGTTTCCGCAGCATTTCAAGCATGGCGTGATGGTGGCAGATCATGTGAGTTATTGGCAGTTGTTTACAGTCATTCCACTGATTGTGGAAGAATACTTCCCAGTGGAGAAGTGGCACTGGGTGGATCATCACCAGGCACATGCCTTAATGGCGTACCACAGCTCACCTTTTCGCACTGCTTTGATCGTGACTTACGACGGAGGCGGAAACGATGGCTCATTCAATGCCTATGTTGGAAGGGTTGGGGGTGACGGGCAAGTGGAGCGAATTGCGCAGCTCGACTTTAACCTGGGCGAAATGTACAACTTTCTCGGCGGCCTGCTGCCAGAAGTTTCAGGTCTCGACACGGCACAGATTTGTGACCTGTGGCGTCTTGGCCAGCCGGTGATTCTGGACCAGGTAAGAAAGCCCGAACTCGGCACGGCAGGGAAGCTAATGGGGTACGCTGCTGTCGCTCCTGCAGACGACAAGCTGACTAGTGTCCTGGAGGAGCTTTTTGAAGGGTCTGGCTGTGTGTTTGGTCACGCTTCAGACGCCTTCGGATATTTCCCATTTCAGGCACGTGCCTCTGGTTGGAAAGACATCAGCTTTGCGAATGCAACCTTGCCCGTTTCTGTGTTAGAAGCTGCCTGCGCTTCCACAGAATCACAACGCATCCTCGGTGCCTCCATCGAAAAAGCCTTCGAATCGATTGCTGTTGGAATCGTTTGGTCCCTCTTGCAACACGTTGGCTTCGACAAGGTCGAAGGTTTGGCTTTGAGCGGTGGCTGTGCTTTGAGTATCCGCACGAATCAGCTACTCTACGATCGCCTCAGTGAGATAGGTTTGGGGTTTTTCGTTCCGCCAGCACCCAATGATTGCGGGTTATCAGTCGGAGGACTCTACAGCGTTACTGCGCCGTGGGTTCGTCAGCCCCTACAATATCTCGGCTTTGAGCTGTGGGACAAAGTGCATTTGGGGGAGCTTGCTCGAAAGCGTGGCGCGGTGAAGCTATCAGAGCTTGGCGGCATTGAGTACTTGGCTGCACTTCTAGCCGGGACCGTAGACTCAGCCAGGCGCCGTGCTTCTCGGAATGGCACGGAATGGAACGTCGTCACAAGGCATAGGCCCATCGTCGCGGTCGTGCGCGGGAGGCAGGAGTTTGGCCCCAGGGCGCTGGGCCATCGATCTCTGCTCGCTGTAGCCACAGACGAGGAGATGCCGAAGAGGATGAACCGGCTGAAAGTCAGAGAGTGGTATCGCCCTGTTGCGCCTATGATCGCTGAAGAGGCTTTGACAGAAGTCTTTGGTCGCACTGTTCGGTCGCCATACATGACATTGGCCCCCGTGGTGAAACCGGAAATTCGAAAGCGCTTCCCTGCCCTGGCACATTTTGACGGGACTGCGCGGCACCAATCTGTATCAAAGGAGGATGAGCCATGGATTCATGCCTTGCTGACGATCGTCGGAAGATTGACAGGGTTGGCGGCACTAATCAACACAAGCTTCAACACCAAGGGCAAGCCAATCGTGAACACAGCCAGGGAGTGTCTGCAAATGCTGGACCGGCTGCCGGATTTAGATTTCGTGCTCATTGAAGACTGGCTGTTTCGTAAACGGCTGACACGGGAAGGCCACCCAGCATCCAAAACTCAGTGTGACAGGATCAGCATCTTCAACACCGGTTCATCAACCTCGTCACCATCAGCACCATCAGCACCATCAGCACCATCAGCACCATCAGCACCGTCATAACCACCATCACCACCATCGCCATCATCACCATCGTCATCATCTTCTTCTTCGTCTGTTCTGCTGGTGAGTATGGGAAGTTTGTTGAGCATACCCATCGTCCCAAGACGGAGGCGAGGACAGGACGACAAAGAATAACAATAATAAAAGATGGACGATGATGATGACGGTGGTGGCATTTGTGCTGAAACGATGGGTATAGTGGCGAAGCAAACGTCGTTTCAACGGTGTCTTCGTTTCGCCAGTCCCGAGGCCTTGGCTTTGAATCATTTTGTGGGCTTGAGGATTTCGGAGGGCCTCAGCTCGAGCCCCCTTCACGAGGGTGTTTAGAGGACCCTGGTCCTATATTCAAGCTCGTGCCTGCAGGTTCTCGCAAAGATCATGGACAGGCTGACGGAGACAGCCAAAAAGAAGGCCAGTTGGCCTATCGCAAGCTCTCCAGGTATTTGCATGGCTGCCTCCGAAGCGTCCCATCCCAAAAAGGGTTCCGCAAGTCAGAAACCGGAAGCCTGTTCCCATGCACAATCGTTTGGCAGCCGTCCTTGAGAACCCATGCAAGCATTTCCAAGCCCGCAGTTGTACAGACCAGGATGGCGTGATGGTGAAGATCATGGTCGTCAAAAGCAAAGCCATGAGGAGGAGCAAGGCCGGCAGACAGCAACCATCCAACAACGTCCAAGGAACCCCCCCGGACAACTCGGGGAACGTGAGTTTGACTCATGTTCGCTGTGCAGCTCGGATTTTTGCGGTACGCTGGGTGCGGGCCCCATCACCCCGCTGGACTCTTCAGCAAGGGGGTTTCGTGTGCCGCTGGAGGTAACCTGACCTTGTGCCGTAGTGACATGACAAGGGAAAAAACGCCGGGAGACTTAGTTAGGGGCGAGGGTCTTGGAGAATTTCGGATGGTGGTCGATTGCTCAGGTTCACCATAAGCCAATTAGCCCCAACTCGAAACCACAGCAAGAGCCCCACTTTGGGAAAAGAAGGACAACGGACTCCTTCGACCCCGACCCCGTCAGGCGAAGAAAACTCTGGAGGACCGGAAGGCCAAGTTCACCAAGTATGCCAAGGACTTGTCAATACCAGGTTTTAGGGTTTAGAGTTCAAGGTTCAGGGTCTTTAGGGTATCCGACAGTGTAGCTCGTAAGATAATGCGTATTGTGCGTACTTAGCCTCAGCATCTCGCCACGAGTGCGATGTGCTTGGGGATTCTGGCCGGGCGAGCACTCATCAAGCCTGTGGAAAAAGGGTCTTTAGGGTAGAGGTGCCAATGCGATTGCAAGTCTTCTTACTTGTGTTTATGCAACTGGCAGTCCTTATGCTTGTGTGTAGTTTGATATTGCTATTGATTTGGCATTGCCACTGGAGCCGGTCAGAATGGAGCCTGTGATGATGTGAAGTCCCCAAGTGTCTTATGCTTCAGTCGTCGGGGTGTTCCTTGCATTCTAGTTGCAAGAAGCGTCTGGTAGGAGGACATGTCGTGAACGCCATTCAAAAATCCACAAAAATACTCTGACCTTTCGTGATGCCTCCGGTAGGGCATTTCGAGGCATTCAGTGAGTGATCGGGGCGCTGGTGATGGCCTACGTGGAGATCTCCAATCGCATGCCTACCCCTTGCATCCGGATTAACACCTTGCTTTGTCAACCCTTTTGGCGAGGACGGCGTCCTTGACAAGAAGCAGGTTACAGCCTACTGCAAGAAGGACGTGGGACGGCGTTTCGGGTTTAGGGGCAACATCTATCCACTTAGTGATGTTTCGTCTGTCAGGGGGCAGCTAAACTTCAAAGCAACATGTAGCTGCAATGTTGGGCCGCTTAGCTGGAACTGCTCTTAGCTGAGCTGTTGGCTGACAGTGCTTTTCGATTGCACTGCGTTTGTGCCTTTTTGCTTTTACCAGTGCTTCCGCCCTAAGCTGTCTTGACCTTCACGATCTGTTTCAGCCTATCTCCCACTCTCAGTGCGACGCATGTTTCGCATACCCGCCTGGAAAGCCTTCAGATCGGACCCACGCAGCATTACTGCACACATGTGACCTTCTAATCGTAGTCTGGTCTGTAGCCATTGGCTTGTAGGAGGGCAACAATTCCGGGAGGGCCCGCTCAACTTGCAAGAGAGCTCCAAACACTGTCATGATGAACTCTATATTGACAAGATTTACTTCCAGCAGCCTGTCCGCTACTTTGCATGTTTGAAATACCCCAAGTCCCTAAGTGTCGGCACCATTGCTGCGACTGCTGTGCTCACGCTTCCTATCCGTCCTCTTAGCGACGATCCCCATCCTGAGCCTCAGACATGATCTTTCCTTGTTGCCTTTTCGGCTGGCTCTGCCGGGAAGCAGGAGTTTAGCCTTGCCCTCAAGGAAGATGCAGTCGCCAGGATCTTCAAGGTGCGTTCTCTGAACCCCAGCCCAGACGTCCGAATTCCGTTGCAGGAAAAATCAGCCACCAGGTCCCTGCAGAACGATCACCGGCACAGATTCACAAGTAGCCGGAGATGCTCGACCTTCAAAACTACAATCCGAAATTCTGCCCAACCGACACAGCGAAAGGCTGGCAAAAGCCGACCCCTTGAAATAGATACTCATGCTTAGTCAGCCCCGAGTTTTGGCTCTTGCTCCTCTGCGGGCTTTTGTGGCTTGTGGGCACCGAAGAGTAGGGCTTGGAAGCAGAGTCCTGTTGGTTAGCCGGGCTGCGTTTCGTCTCCTTTGTGACTGGTAAGCCCTGCCTGGGAGTGTACTGGTGAGATGGTCAGTTGACAAAGATCAGCTTAGATCGAAGCGTCAGTTACGACTGACTCAGTTGTGACTGCTGGTCGTTCCTGGGGGCCTTCCTTCCCTGCAAGGGTTTGGACGGTTTGTTGTCATCCCAGTTTGGGGTTGGCAGAGCCTGAAATCCTCGGCGGGAAGGCGCTGCAAGTCACCAAAGGCGTGGCTGCGGCCGACTTCCAGCGGCTTCGGGCGACTCTGCGGAACTTATCTGCTGGGTACACGTTTGCTTGCGGCAACGCTGATTGTTGCTCCTGAGTGATTGCATGTTTAGGGTTCGGGCACTGTTGCCATTGTTGCAAAGATTAATGGCTTCCCGACCGCCTTTGTGCCTGATGATTCTGACTGGGTGAGGGTGGTTGTTGTTGAAAACGGGAGTTTACCAAAGGCTGTAGGGTTCCACCAGTTTAAAAAGCGAGCTTATGATGAGGCGACCCTATAATGGATAGGTTAGGTCATATTTGGGAGTCAGCTCTTTGAGTTTGTTTCCTTTGGGAGGGGGCTTCCAGCTCACGGAAGTTCAAGAGCCATCGGAGTCCAACTCCCCAAGGACCCGTTTCTGTCGCAAATATCATTGCTGAACGACCTCTCGCTTCAACATACTTCAAGCCTTTCCAAAATTGGCCTGGGCCGTTCAAGGTCCAGATTGGCATCATCCGGGAGAGCATCAAAGATCAGGCTCGGATTGGGGCTTGCAATTGCCTCCAGACCCTTGTGGGCCTTGTTGTTGATTGTTGTCGTTTCCGCCACTGCGTTTGGCAGGAGTTGCATCAGAAGGACGTCTAGAAGTGATCATATTTTGAAACAAACCCCCCCGTTCATAGACAGTTGAATCGATCAACTGATAAGCCGTGATATACCTCAGCAATCAATTCATAGATCCTGATCCGCCACAGCTTAAACCAGGGACCATATCACATACAAGTTTCCTTAACCGATCTCCACCAGCCCAGAAGCTCCTTCTTCGATCGTCCCATTAACCTTACACAGGAAAACCTTAACACCAAACCCTCGACCTCAACTTCAGCCGAAGCCCTATATACTGTAGTGGTACGCGTGGGAGCGCCGCAACTGTACTGGCAAGCTTAACCCCAAGCCGAAGCCCTTGACAATGTTCGCAAACACCTTTCAAGCCTAAGCCAATCACACGACCAGGCTCGGCTGAAGGTTCGGCTGGAGCGAGAGAAGGAGCTCGAGGCCTCAAAGGTGCGGACACCGACTTAGGCTTTCGGGCTTGAAGCTTGAGGGCTGGAAGCTTGAGGGCTTTCAAGGTTTGCCTTAGCGGCTCAAGCAAGCGTCCAAGCTTTACCGTCTTTGTGGCTTTGAGGAGTTAGTAGGGTTTAGTGGATTCCTTTGAGTTTGGGGGGCTGCAGGCTTAAGTAAGAGGCCACGTGGCTTGGGGGACTGCTGTTCTGGCTGTACGCTTTCATGCCCTTGCGATTTGCTGCGTTCGGCGAATGGTGGGTGGTTTCCGGTCTAAAGAAGCTGATTGCAGGAAGAGGTCCGAGAGAAGATCGAGGAGCTTAGTGCAAAAGCGGACGAGGTGGAGGCACCCGTCAAGCAGGCAGCGGGTCTGTGTAGTCCAGCTCCCCAAATGCACGTACCGCAGTATTGCATCTGATTGGTCCTTTTCTGTCTTCTTGGCCTCTTCTTCGTCTTGGTCTTGCTGGTGCTGCTGCCGGTGGCACAGGTGATGATGAACATGGTGATGAAATTGATGATGGTGGTGACGATGGTGATGCAAGTACATGATGACGGCTGTAATTTCAGTTTAATGAGGATGCTGACGCAAGTGCTCCTGATGGTGATTCTGCACAAGCTCCTGTTAAAACAGCCGTGCTCTGCAGCTTTGAAGTGTTGCCTGTGCGCACCTTCGTTTCCGATTCATGTTCGCGCATCGAATTGAAATCAAAAACCCGAAGTGCCTGGCAAACCAAGCCGAAACCTCAAGCCTTGCAGCCTTGCGAGAGCGTGAGAGTCGAAACCGGGCAGGTGGAGGACGCCATCCTTGAGCTTAGCAAGGCGGGGCCTTGGGGCCTCGGGGACCGCGGCTGATTGAAGTCGGTTTTAGATTTTGGGGCTTTGCGGGAGTTTGCGGCTTCGAAGTATAGGGTTTCAGGTGCAAGTGCCCTGGCTCTTTGCCTGTTCTCTCTGCGTGACTTCTGACAGCGCGTGTCATTCATCGTGGGTTGTGAGGAGCATGGAGTGGTTACGTCAACTTTTGCTAGCTGAGGATGTGCATGTTCTCCTTGATCTCATTAGTTCAGATGAGCCTGGAAGCTTGGCTTTCGACGCCCATCTTAAGGGTTGGCATACTTTACATGCACGTGTCACTTCAGACTTTCGCATGGTTTTATGTATGATACTATTGAGATTGGACAAATGCAAGGCATTAATTACGTCTTGTGTGTTTGGGTGCATGTTGCAGCCAGTAGTGCCACAGATTTGCCTGGCCCTCAGTTTCTTTTCTTCAGGGGCACCCGGCAGCCGCCATAGGCTTGGACACGAAAAGGAGTAGAATTTCTTGTTACTCGGCTCAGTACGTCATTTCAGCAAACAGAAGAGCAGCTTTCGCATAATGTTTTCTCCGCACTTCTGCTTTTGGCTTTCTGCAGGTTGGGATTAAGGCTTAGGGTCAACAACGGCTCAGGTTTGAGCTTCCAGCTGAGAAGGCTTTTTGTTTTAGGTTTCCGAATCAAGGACGTCAGGAGGCCCGCAGAACCCGTTAAACCCAGCGTGAACGAGAGAACCTTGTGAAGTCGCTGTAACGAAGACACTTCACTGCCGTCACTCCAGTCACACTGCAGGCTGATAAGTTGCCGACCACATGAGACCAGCACAACCTTCAGCAAACGATAGACCCTGAGCCACCTGGTAGAGGTGCAAGGAGGAGTAAAGAAGCTGCTTTTTCGAGAAGTCCGACAGCCAAAACCCCAGAGCCCAAAGTCCCAAGCAGTGATACTCTAAACATCTCTAAGCGCTAAGCCTGACAGCGCCTGAAAGGTTGACAAAGACTCCACGAGGTGGCGCCCTAACGGGTTTGAAGAAGTGCTTCTGGCTGTGGGGTTTCATGTTGGTATGGGGATCTAGATGTCAGACTACATGCAGGTGAGCGAAAGGCCTGCGGTGGAGTCCAAACCCTACCTGCAGCCGCCAACTTGAAATTGTAAGTATGCAGCCTTATCAGAGTCTGGGCCTCTAAGCCGTGTTTCTTCTTGCGGGCCCAACAGACGTATGGTGCGCTCAGTTCGATACTATACTTTCAAGTTTCAAGTCTGAAAAAACGCAGGCTAGATGAATCTTGGGTTGCAGCCTGTACATCTTTCTTGGCTCCAAAAAAAGCTCCCCACCTCCCGAGGGCCTCGCAGATGCACGAGAAGTGTGCAGAGGTTCTCCCACCGACTTGCCGGGTTTCAGGGGCCCCACGTCGGTGTTGCGCGGTCTGCCATGATATCGGGATGGGTTTGAACGGCTTGTCGGAATGCGCAAAGTTTGCTGCTCGTGTTGCTCCTGCCTGTGATGTTTGGCATTCCTTTGCGCTTTTGGTCGCCGCTTACACTGCTCAGCCGCCGGCCAAAACTTGAGTATGCACCGGAAGCCATGCACCGATATCTCATGTGACGGGAATCGAGCTTCAAGCTCGTTTAGCTATATCTCTTTTCGCTTCGCCAAGCGCGCATCCCCAAGCTCAGCTTCGGGATTCTGGCAGAAGTTGGGGGCCTCAGGCCCCTTTTCCCGATTCATCTGGGACAGTTGTGAATGCTGCAAAAAAGGCGAGACCCTCACCCAAACCTAAGACCTTCCGAGCCCACCCTGGTCCCAGCCCCATTTCCTCAAACCCCCACCCACATCTCACAGCCGAAGCCCTCAACGCGAGTGCCATGGCATCGCCCCGGCAAATCGAGTTGAACCGCTGGCTGACGCAATCTACTGCGCCGGAGATCATCCAGGCGCTCCCAGTGCAGTGCAGAAGGATATCCCGATAGATGGCAAGCTAGCATGACCCGACTCTTGGAAGTGACTTCAGGATTCAGAGCGTGTTTCATCATTCCGCTTCGTTTTGGTGGTTGTGCTTCCTGCTACGGGCTGGCTTACCTTCTAGCTCAGCCGGTGCTCAAAGAGTTAGCTACTTCCGTTTTCGGATCACACAACTTGTGCCCTCCCTGCGAAAACTGACACAAAGTCCGAGAGCGCCGAACATGGAAGCCTCACGTCACCTTCCCTTCGAAGGTGGTCCAGGAGAATCTGGCAGAGTTCAACCTTGTGCCCCGATTGTGGAGCCGAGTGCTACACGGTACTGCGAGCCAGCCCCCAGGAACAAAAACACCCTAAACGAGCCATCAACCCTGACCGTGCACTCCAGCCTAACGACGGGAACAGAGAGGAGTTCCCAGGTAAACTGCACGACAGCCCTGCAGCGCTACGCCAAAGCGCTGGGCTCGGGTCCAGGCCATTGGGGTGAGGACGCCGGCCTGGCGGTTGCTGTAGCACTTTAGGTTGTTACCGTCGGAGGCGGCCAAGCTAAGAGCACCTCACACACTGACATACGGCGACATACAGACGGAGGGAGGATTGTCGGATAAGGCAAGAGAGCCTTTGCTCGAGGCCGGCCGGATGCCGCACGAAGGGGCGGGCAGCAGCGCCCGGCTGAAGCGGAGGAACCTCTCAGGCGGCTCCTCCTTCGCACCGCTGAGCTGGCGCAGGCCGCTGGTACCCAGGTGCCGGCCCCGAATACAGGATGCTGAAGCCGAAAGCTTGTCACCAGCAACCAAAACAGCTAGAAGCTGCTGTGCTTGAAGTGTGTGAGGTCCCGCCGCAGAATCTTGCGAACGCGCTGTGGGCTACTTGCCTCCTGAGTTGCGGGTGTTGTGGATCTTCTAGGCGGACCGTTGTCGTATCCCGCAGATGCTCCTTGCATGATGTATGTGACAGGGGGAATCTGAACGCGGTACTGTAATATACGGAGCGGGCCATATGAGGCTCAAGTGATCAGAACCAGGACCCAGACATTCCCTGTGTTTCCTACAAGGATGCCCATTGATGCCCAGGGCGATGGCGTGTCTCCTACAAAACTCGTGCCGTAGAGAATGATACGAAGCTGTAGAATGGAGGCTCTCCGACGAAAGCCGGAGAACACACTGAAGTGGCCCCACAGCTGTTCGGTTCCTCACGCTCAGCAATCACGTCCCTTCAGCCTGTGATGTGCAGTATCGTGTGCTGGGGTGTGTGTTGTGTTGTGCTGTGCTTAGTTTGGACCTGCCTCGGTGCCGTACGGAGAGGGTTTTGTTTGCCAAGGCCGCAGAGCGCCTCGTAGCCTCGCCGGGGGCGCCTCAGGCAACCCTGGCGGCCATCGCTCGGAAGGCCCTCTCTGAGCTTCTGATGGTTTTAGCTCTGGGTTCATGTGGGTTTGCACTTTGATGGCTTGAGGCGTTGGCTTCGAAGTCGGGCTTCACAGGCTGTTATGTTGTTTTGGCCGGGTTGCTTTGAGGGAGTCTTGAACAGGACTTAGACACAGCGGTGCTGGTATTGGTCTTTGGTCTTCTTTGAGTTGAAGAGCTGGGCATTCGACGAGTCGAGGGCTCAGGGCGAACTCTCAAGTCGAGGGCTCTTCGGCCCTGCAAAGCTTCGACCTTAAAGCGAGGACTCTGGGAAACCTTCAGGAGAAGCCAAGCATTGAATCCTGCCCTCGAGGCCATGGGCGATCCGAAGCGCTTGAGGGCGTTTAGCGGGCAGCACTTAGTGACTTGTCCAGTCCAGCAGGCAGCAGTCAGCTGCGGGTGGAAGACCTTCAGGGATGAAGGATTAAGTAAGGATTGAAGGGTTGCGGGGTCCGGGGACTTAACGTTAGGTCGCAGCAGGCCAGCTGCAAAGGTTGGGGCTGACATGCCCATTTTCAATGCAGTCGCGAGACTAGCCAAGCGGGAGCCAAAAATGCCCATTTTCGGCAACTTCTTGCTACTGACATCATTCCCTTCCATTGCGGTTCCACTTGGATTTCCCTTCCGTTTACACTTCCGTTTGTGGGTCCGCCCTTCCGTTTACCTTTCCGTTTAAATTTCCACTCCCGTGGGCACTCCGGTTTCGGCTTCCGTTTGTCAGGCGGCTTCCGCTATGGTTTACTCTATGAGTCCAAATAGTCTGGGTTCAAAATGTCGAAATATGACACTCCCAGCTGAGGGCCAATCGCAGTAACTTGAAATTTTGTGCAAGCAACTGTAAACAACTCCGATTCTGTAGGGTCCCGGATTTACGTTTCCGCTTCCGGCCTTGAGGGTTCTACTTCGGAGTCCAGGTTCCGGTTTCATATGTTTGTAGATCTGGCTCATCGGGAGGCACCTCAGAGAGACCTCGTTCAAAAAAGAATCCGTTTCGGATTTCCGTTTCGCATTCGGGCGTCGGTTTCGCAACCCGTCCGAAACCCCATCCTGCAAGGAAGCGGAAAACGCTACATAGCGGAAGCTGAGCGGAAGCGAATCGACACCGGAACCCGAACGGAATGGAAAAAGCAAGTAGAAAACGGCACGGATGCGAAAACGGAATGACACAAACAGAAGCGGAAGATGAAGCATACCTTGTTGACCAAGTCAGCATTACAACTGTGGAGCCCTGCTTGAAAGAGAAGGTTAGGGCTGTCAGCATTCTCCCAAAGGCTGTATATGAAGTTCACTAGCATTACTGCCTGACAAATCATTGTGGGGTTCGGGTTGGTGGTCAGGCTCGCAGTCTCAGAGGCGTGAGCGAGCAATGTAGTCCCTGGTAGTTTTCGTTTCTTTGAAAGGCTAACATCGCCTGGGCCATTGCAAAGCTTCTGACAGGCAGTGCCTTGTGCTGAAAAGACAGGGTAGCATTTTGTCAGGCTTCAGATGCTGGAAGAAACAAGGACGCTCTTCCTGCTTTCTGTGCGGAAACGTTGGCCTATATCCTCTGCTGCGATGCTCCTCATGCTGTAACCTGCCTCTCCGGCCCAATCCCTTTCGTGACCCGTGTGCTATCTCCACTGATCCTTAACTACATTCAACTTAATTAACTACGGTATGCCCCTGTCCCGACCCAGCAGTCTGTTCATGCTTTGCCGTTGATCCATGCCATGCCGGAAGCTGATCCAGTAGTAGAGGGGCTCAACGGCGAACTTAGGTGGAACCACCATTGACTAACAGTCACGACGTAGAAGACAAAGACGCGTGTTTGATGATTGATCGACCTCTCTGCATTGAGGCTCTGCGGCCCAGCTGCTTCAATCTGCTGGCGCCACTTCGCAGGAGGCTCCTGGGCAGAAATCTTACAATTTGTGCCTCCTGGAAGACCCAACCCCGCGTGGAAACCCCCTGCCTAACTCTAACTACAGCAAAGTCAGCGGGCTCAACCTCTACACTCAGATCCGACAATGCATCCCATTAAACGAGACCTGGTGCAGGGGAGCTGGGCTTATCAGGTGTGGCGTTGTGGCGTGGAGCTTGTGGATCCTACTTGCACCTGGTCCTAGTTCCTGCTAGGTTGAGCTACATCAGCTACAGATGGTAATGAGTGTGAACCGGGCAAGGTTCCCACCCCTCCGAAGCTTAGTGGCCTTGAGGTTATGGTCAGTTTGCGTTTTTGAGCGTCGTTTGCTGCAGCAAATCTTAAAAAATCATCGGCAAACTTGAAGCTCAAACTCCTCAACCTCCAACCCCCAAGCCTTCGCTAACAAACTTAAATCAAGCAGAGCTGACACTACTACTTGTACCGGCTTACGTTTTTCGCGATCCGCTGCATACCATCCACCCCTCTGGCGAGAGCGTAAGCTTCACCGAAACAATCTGCATCCACTGGTGTTTGTAAGGTTGTGTCGGTCTTGTTCTAGTCGTCGACAGTCTACGCAGGAAGCATTGTGCTGGGTCCGGAGTGGCCGAGCCTGTAGCTGTCGTACGTTGGTACTTGTCGCGAAGGCCTGCCTTAAATGTGAGGGACAAATCCGATGAAGCCAGGCCTTTCTGGAGCCCCTTTGCTCGGCCTTGGAGACCCGGGCCTGGGACCTAAATGCACAGGACCTGTGGTGCCTGTGGGTGATGGAGATGCGCAGCGGAGTGGTCGAGAGAGAGAGAGAGAGATAGGACACGCTCCTTCAAGAGCCCCCAAACAAACATCGGGGCGGCCTGAAAAAGGCCGAGGGGCTTTGAACACCCAGTGTTCATGCCCCGAGGAAGAAGAGAAGGCAGTGAAAATGTACGCTTCGTCGCAGACTTTGTTTGCGGCTTATTGGACGATCTACATCTGCTGTTCACTCCCCTGTGCCCAACAACACATTCCTGACCGTCCCCTATGCCCAGAGAGAGAGAGAGAGAGAGAGGGAACTGGCAACAGTCACTATTCGGGGGCATGCCAGCAGTCGACGAAGAAACCCAGACAGCCATGGCGGAGGCAGAAGACGAGCGGGAGACCACGGGGGAAGCCACTGGACAGAGGAAGCCAACCAAGAGACAATGGTTTGGCCTTGCTGGGGTGGACTACGATGAAATTGCCGCCCTAGAAACCGACAGCTTCTTGGCGGACCTCAATGAAGTGGAAATGCTCCCCACACTGCCGCTGAACGGGGACGCGCCTGACAGTCAACAAGCAACGCTGCCGTGGACCCCGCCGACGGCGATGCCAATGGAGCCGATGGGGGAATCTGCTGCTGACGCGAGAAACAGTGAGGGGGACGAAGAGTCGGACCTCAGCCCTGCAAGCCACCGCCGTAGAAGACTTCTCGCAGCCTTTTATGACAGACACGGGCCGATCTAGGTTGAGGACAGCTTTATGTTGCTTTCTTTCTGAGGCCCACAACTGTCGTAAGGGGGGCACAACAACCAGCGGGGGAAGAAACCACTGTGCCTGTACTTGTTTTACCGTCCTTACCCGCTGTGTTGCAAGCCTTAGGTAGCTACACAGTTTGTACTTCGTACGCCAATGTAGAGACTGAACTGAGGGGGAGATGCACAGATTGCTCAGTGAAGCTACTGTCCTACAAGTTAGTCTTTTACTCTGCCCAAACTGTTGTACATCGTGCCTCCCGACCTCAAACCACCATAGCCTCTCGTGCTCTACCAGGCAAAGGCAAATGGGGGAAAACTGTTCTGTATGTCTTAGCAAGCTGTCTGCGCATTATACCCCATGCACTTCCCGAAACGTACTGACCTTAGCTGTTGTTGCTTGTTGTATTGGGGGAAGTGCTGCCAGCCGTAGGTACTACTTGGGGGGATTCGCCTGTCGCAGGGACTTAGGATAGTGCTGTAGAGAGCGCGGGGACGAGGCCGGGAGGCACGATAAAGTACAGGGTCAGGGAGGTTTACCGACAGGCGAACTCCACAGGTTGCAACGGCCATGGGAAAACAATCCCCAAGCGCTGCTGCCCCAAAGCCCTTTTCCACCGCAGACGGGGGAAAGGGGGCGGGAGCTTGACCCCAGTGAAGTGAAGTGAAGTGAAGTGAAGTGAAGAGAGAGAGAGAGAGAGAGAGAGAGAGAGAGAGCGGGAGGACTGCTCCCGCCGCAGGCCCCTAGCAAAGCAAAGAGAGAGAGAGAGAGAGAGCCGCCCGACGCTGGTGAGTTCGCCAGAGCCCGACAGCAGTGACTGAGGGAGACCGGGGCGACAGACCGCACCGAGTCACAAGACGGAGCGCGACAGAGACCGCCAATACTGTGATGTAGCGCATGCTTTTGTGTGTTGTTTTTCGAACCGAAGGCGGTTGTTGCGTGCCACATAATGGACCTCGCCCGCACTGTGATACTGCATGGGACCCCACAGGCCACCTGTGTTTGTTTGTGTGTTATCGGGGCGACAGGTCGCCTAGAACCCGTACAGAGGCTCGCTAGTGGGGACCCTGAACTCCTAAGGTTCCAAGTAGGTACTCAACTGAAATGGGCACACGAACCCCACATGGAGCCAAGCTGGCTGAGCGAGTAGGACCCGTCGCTGTGCAACCCCGAATGACAAGTGCTACCAGATATAGGGGCGTCGAACTGCAGTTGCTAGGCTTGCTGAACGTCGTACCTGTTGCTGAAACCATCGAATCGGGGGAGCGACTACCGGGGCAGAACACCTGTCCTTAGGCCACTCGCGAGTTACATGAGCACCCACAACCTGGCATATGCACAGTACTCCACAGGCATATGAGCAGTACTCTACTCTGTCGTGTACTGAAGATGGGGCGCCCGTAACTCTAGCCTACCGCATGAAATACCATGCACACCGCCAACATCGGGCGGCCCCCAAGGGCGGGGGCTCGCCTCCCTAGCCTGGCGAAAGAAAGAAAGAGAGAGAGAGAGAGAGACCAACCAGTGCGCGGACACGCGCGGGCACAGTCTCGTGCTGTGCTTTGGCTGTGTGCAAGCAAGAGAGAGCGAGACAGAAGGCGATGCCAGCAGGAAAGAAAGAAAGGGCGATGCCATACTACAAGCAGCCCCGGGGTCACATTCGGATCAGGGTCGAAGTGCTGGTTACTTGAACTCACTCTTTCCGGCGGCTTCACGTCGTGGACCGGCTGAGCTGAACACCCCCTTCAAAAGGAAGGTCATCCGAGATGTCTCAGGGCCTAGGGACCGTCCCTTAAGGATGACGATTCCTTTTCCGCCAGCTCAAGATTTGCTCGGAAGGAGCTCTCCATGGCGGCCTGGGCGCTGGGAACTGTGGGACATGACAACCATGCAGCCGCGCGGGTCGTTGCGATTCTGGGAGAGGCAGAGTTCTGGGATTCAGGCTTGCAGTTGGCGGAAATGGTGCTGGGACCAGGACCGAGGCTTCAGACCCTCTGCCCGACAGCCTTCAAAGCCACTTCGGCTTCAGGGTGAAAAAAGGTTTTCGGCCTGTAGTTCCACCAAGCCTCCGAAATTTGTATTTTCCTGAGTTCTTACCCCATTAAACTGAATAGCGTGGAAACCTGAACACTGAAAACGTAGTCGTTCAACGCCTGAACCCTTTCAAATTCCAAAGCCCAAGCCGTCGACTCTAGTTTGAAACCCCAAGCTTTCGAGATCGAAGCAAGGCGAAAGCCTAGATCCATGACCCGAAGAACTCTGCTTCTTAATTATTGCTGTTCGTAATTGGTACAATCCTCATTCCTTGAAGCCTGCCTAGAATCTAGCCTAGAAGTAGTTTTAGTTGTGAGAGGCCGCGCGCTGGCAGCCCGAGGGCGCCCAGGGGCTCAGTGCGCAGCAGCTTGCGACCGTCCGGGCTCCAAGATAATGGGTGAGATGCAGACAGTGAAGAGGAAGACGTGTTCGGAGCAAAGTTGCTCGGCAACTTGAAGGCAGTAAGAATGATAAGAAGATCAACGTTTTGCCATGTACGCCAGCAACAAGATTCATGAGTGATAGCAGTCGCCACCATTATCAGCATTCTCGCAATTACCCGCCCATAGGCAACTATGCAGTTTAAACGCAGAAAACCCTTTAAGGCCGTTGGAATACAACAGATGTTGGAATGGTGATGCCACAGACAGTAAACACAAGAGAGATGATGAGTAGAACAGAGCAACACCACGACGAAATAGCAGTGCTGGTGCATGAGGTGTTGAGTTAGCTTGCCGTCGTTTATGGCATCAGCCTCAGAACCGTCGAGCAGTTTGGGCAACGAAGCGAAGACGTGATTCACCAAGCTGGAAATTGTCTCGTTCTGCTGCAGCACGAAGGTCGGAAACCAGTTCTGCGTGATTCCTCAACGTGGTTCCTCAACAGGTTCAAAACCGACAGACGATAGTCTAGTTCACGGTGACGATTGCGATAAAGCACGAGGCAGCACTCATGCCCTAGCCTTCGTGTCCGCGGTCTGAAATCTAGAGAATGGTTAATCGTGTGCTTGTTCAGGTTCCGTCATGAAAGGCACTGCTTGTGCCCGTTGAGGGAGGGAGCTGACTATACTGGTCCGTACACTTCTACTGTCTTACTGTAGCTTTGAAGGCGACTCTCGTCTAGAAGCTCCTAAACCCCAAGAGTTGTTCCATGTTCGTTCATGCGTGACTATTGTTGCGCGACCCAAGATGGCCTGGGCTTGTGCCCGTCTCGGTTGCCGCAGCGAGGCCGCTCGCCACATTCAGAGTTTCATTGATGGTTCTGCAAGAAATAGTGTCGTTACACAACTTCGACTGAGACTCTGTCTGTACCTCAGTGGCCTTAAGTTCGCCAGAAGGCCGTTCAAGTCAGATTTGCAAGAAGCACGAGGGAGAGATTTTTGCGCTGCCTCGAGCTTCCCACCCTGCTACTTCCGTGTACCAGCTCTTTGTTGCAAACCTTTCGCTCTGACGAGTCGCTTCGCCCAAGTCATTGCCCGAGCTTGCAGCCCGGCATCTCATGTCTTTGTTGGGAACACCAGGCTGAGCTTACGTGGATACATGTAGATGCTGCGTGATGTCATAACGGCTTGAACTTGTATGCTCCATGAAGCAGGCTATACTGCAGGACATCGCCACAGCGGCCGCGTGCTTGCGGCTGCATTGTGGAAGTTTCCGTGCACCTACAAGCATTCCCACCGTGTGGTTCGGAGTTTTTCCCATGGTTACGAGACCACCGTGGCAATCGCCTATGTGAATTTGCAAACCATTATTACAATCCTTTGCCTTGTAGGTGCCCAGCCCCCAGCAAGCTGGTACGATCCAGTCAGCTGGGCGGGTGGTAAACAAAAGCCGCCAACATTTTGAATACTCTGAAGCACGTTGCCTACATTCTTTGTGCCCGTGTGCCTGGTGTTGCAACCAACCGGTCTTGGTAAATGGACGACTCAGAAAGTTGTGGTGGCCTGCTGCAAACCCAAGATGGGGCAGGATCAGAAGTGCCTGAAGATGCTCCCCGTGCTGCATCATAACGCCGACATCAAGATCTTTCACCAACGGGACATATTACTTCTTGCTAAAGAAGTTTCAGAAACCTTGTGCCTACAATCCACACTGCACTAAGGCCAAGGACAATTTAGAATGAGCGCGACAAGACTTTGAAAGAGGTGAGAGCTTTGACAGAAGTGTCCCCTCTCCGGCTCGACGTAGAGACGTAGAGATCGAATTGAAGTTGTACTGTGAGTGTATACGCATCATGTGATGCGCCTTGGCATTCAGTTCTGGGCCTATGCAAGGCATACACGTATGTAACGTATGGAGAGATCAGCACGTAGACCACCCGACTGCAGAGACCCTGGAACGAGGCCCAAAGTGGCACGTGGAGACTTCAACGAGCAGGAGATTGGGCACTGCCCCTAAGCCCTCGACCCCAAACTTCGGAAAAGCGTGGTTCAAAACACAAACTTAAATCCGCAGTGAAAACCAAGCAAGAAGCCCACCTGCCGAAGACAGGACCTGGTGAACATGGCATGGGCCTATGGGCGTCTGGAGTTCTCGGTGCCTCAGACTGTTTCCATTTGTGCGGAAATTTCACAAGAATCAGCGATTTGAAAAGACTTGGGATTTCTCATACTTCTGAACCAGTCCGAATCAACGCTGTAACGCTGTGGCCGCCGAAAGCGTGGCCCACGTCTCATGCGCAGACCGGACCGAGGCAGAGGCCCTCAGGAAGGTTTTGGCGAAAGCGGCCACCAGGCATCTGGAGATGTACGCTGTATAGGTGTTTGCAGCCGCAAGAGAAATACAAGTTCAAGTGCCTATTCAGTTTTAGTTCGGGGGCTCTCAGGTCTGGAGTTCCGGCACGTCTTTTGCCAGGCGTCTCTCTGCACATAAGCGGATTGGTCGAAGTTCAAGGTGTTTCGCAGGCTTATGCTCAAGCCTGGGAGCCCGAAAGCCTGAGCCCGACCACATGGCAGTGGAAATTCAAGCCATCCAAATCCCTCACGAAAAGCACCCGACCCCTGGGGCACAAGAGGACTGTCACCAATTTATGCATACTACTTCTTGCGTCAGTTTTGCGGCCATTGTGAAAGTAGCTTTCGTCATTGCTATTATTACGCAGAGCCACTGTTGCTCCCACCCCTTCGCATTCTGCAGATATTTGGCCAAGACCGCGCAATCGGGCCGCCGCCACTCAGGCAAGGGCCACTTGGTGATCGGGGCTTGCCGGGGTACGGAGTCTGCTGATTGGAGAAGGAATGACTTCCGGGAACAGTCCGTGAAGGCCAGTGTGTTTCAGTTCAGGGGTTTTGGCAAGACAGTTGTTACCGGCGGACATGATCAGACTTTGAGGATTCCGGGTTTGGGTGAAGCTTCGAGCCTCTCAGAGTTTGCCGCCTGCCGAGGCCTGTACCTGCAACTGCTCGCAAACCCCGAACCCCCAAAGCATCCGGGGAAGCGCTTTGCAGGGATGGCAACGGCCCCATCCTGCTTATAGTCTTGTCCTTATGCCAAGGCCGCCTGATTCCCTTGCCCAACTGTAAGCTCTGCTTATCTCAAACCGAAAGCCTGATCCCGTCCGCTCTGGAACCCAATGTCTGCAATGTTTCCTCGTCCTTCAACTTTGAGGCACGGGTTTCAGTGCCTCGCAACTGGCTGTAGTGGCGTGGTCACTGGTGGCTGGGCAAAAGATTTTCCAGGGAGGTGCGCGATCTCTCGGCTGTCATGGTGGTGTCGCTTAGAGTTCAGGGTCAAGCAGGAGCTCCGCACCCCAGTTTGCTGCTGTGGAGTCTGGCAGACGACTTGGAGATCTCTGTTTGAAGACTTTCATCGCGGAGATGGCTGACCAAGCAGACTGAGAACTGCGAGGTCGAGTTGGGATGTTGCTTTGTGCATGTCGAAGACGTAAGAAAGAGGATCATGACGCAGTGGCCATGTCTTTGTAGCTTGGAAGCCTTGATAGGTCAGTAAGGAGGTGAGAGCCCTACTAAAGCGCAGAGAGCTTCGCAGAGAGCTTCAAGCGCTTTTCGTTCTGAGCCCTGGGCTCTCAAAGCTTTGAACCCCGGAGACTTCTTTTCTTTGATGTAAGGTCCTGGGCTTCACAGGAGGTGCTCTGAAGCGTACCCTGGAGAGAGGATTTGCTACTACGCTCCCTAGGAATCGTAGAAGTTGAGCACCCAAGAGCGCTAAACCCTGCGATGAAGTTTACCATAATCCTCTTAACCTGCTCGCCTGATTTTTTCAAAGATCGAGGCGAGAATGGGCATCCGGGAGAGCAAAACTCTGAAGTTTATTGCCGAGGTGGATGTATCTCTTGCTTCAGGTTCATTGCTTGAGGGTTTTTCTGATTCTGGGATCCTTTCTAAGACTGACTCTGGCTTGAGGGCTTTGCCTCACTGCAGACTCGGGGCCGCAAGTGTAGTGGTCTTGGGAGTATCTGTTTCTTTGACACGTGATGTTTAAGTTGTGGTTGATGATGTGGATGAGGATGTTGATGCTAGTGAAGAGTGCGATGATGATGGCCTTGATGGTGCTGGCGATGGTGATGACAATCTGGCTCCTTTCGACGTGGGGTACGTTGCCAAGCACCAGACTCGATACCCTCGATCCTACCGCCCTGGATTTGAGCTGCATGTGGAGGTATTGTTTTGTTACGCACTTTTGTCAGCCGTTTCGTTTCCAAGCCGTCCCTGCGCGAGTCCGGATGATGATGGTTTCGTATGCACATCCCATTGACTGTCTGCAAATTCTGCTCAAATTACCCTAAGTAAACCTAAACCCCATTGACCCCCGCGGTCGTGTTCCGTAGATGTGATACTGTCACGCTGACTGTCACCACACCAAGAACCGCATCTGGCAGAGTCCGAGTAGAAGCGAAAAGCCAAAAGCCTCGAACTTTGAGTCCTGAACCGCAGTGAGACTGAGCATCCCATGATGTTCAGACACGGAGGTCTGCCGATGTTCCGAAGCGTAAAAGCTCCCGGTCCTCGGAGGAGGCGACACAGCGAGTGTCGGAACTCTCCCCGCGGGATGTGACTGACATCGTTTGGGCCCGGCACACAGTCAATGCATCACCCGGCTGCTGTGCCACAAATGCCTGGCCCACTTTGCGGATTAGGGTTGAGGGTATTATAGCCAAACGGTTTGAGAGCAATTTCAAGTCTCAACACATTAGAAGCCATGCCAATGCAAGGGCATCGCATGACCGGCAAGATCAACACATCAGCAGCATCGACCACAGAACAGGTTTACAAGAGTGTTGTCCGTCCCGCAATTCAGAGCTATGGAGGATTCCGAACCGTTTGTGGAGTTTTCACAGCACGAGGATCTAACGGTCCGGCTTCGGAACATTCTGCACGACTACACCTTCGGCCCTGGCGTTTTTCGAGAGCTTCTGCAGAATGCGGACGACGCAGGTGCCCGGTGTTTTGCACTGTACGCCGATGGAGCACAACACCCAAAGTTGGAGGGCCTCCTGGACGCACGGCTGGCGGACTGGCAGGGCCCGGCGGTCGTGGCCGTCAACGATGCACAGTTCACAGATGCTGATTTTGATGGCATCCGTTCAGTGGGAGCCTCTGTGAAGAGGTCGGATCATTCGAAGATTGGACGCTATGGCTTGGGCTTCAACTCCACCTACCATCTGACAGACGTGGTGTCCTTCCTGTCACGGGACCGGCTCTGTATTTTCGATCCTCACCGAGCTCATTTGCCTTCGGGGCTTCCGGGCCTTCAAGTGCAGCTGACGGCGGAGCTCAAGAAAAAGTACTGGGCGCAGCTTGCGCCCTTTCTAGATGTGGCCTCTGCCTCTGGCGGTTCTGGCTCCGAGGTGGGGGAGCCTTGGAAGCCTGGAACCATGTTCCGGCTACCCCTGAGGACACCAGAGCTGGCATCTCGTTCTCTCATTTCGAACCAGGCCCACAGCTTTCAGGACGTCTTGGCAGTTTTGCAAGAGTTGGCGTCCAGCGCCGGGGAGCTGCTCCTGTTCCTACAGTGTATCGAGGTGCTCGAGATCTATGTGCGTCCTCAAGAAGGGCAAGGGGATTGGAGCTGCTTGGGCCGCTCCTGGATTCGGACGGCATCGGCGGCTGTAACCGAGCGCTTGAGGAAGGAACGCCTGATGCTCCGCAATGTGCTAGCAAACGAAGCCAAGAAGGCAGCTAGAAGACTGGGCCTTCTCATTGAGGTAGTCACCGATTCCCGGTCCGGGCTGTCCGCTGAGACCAGACGATCTTCAAGGCCATGGTTGGTGACCTTGCGCAGCGAGCCAGTGGAGAGTGCAGAGGTTAACGCTGGGCCTGCCGAGGATGAACTTCCGAGCTGTCGCATCTCAGCTGTGGCGATAGCTCTTTGCACCGACTCCGAGGACTCAGCCGACTTGAAGGGACAGGCATACTGCTTCCTTCCGCTCTCTCTTGCAACCGGGCTGCCGGTTCACATCTCTGCGAATTTCGCATTGTCTGCAAACCGCCGAGACTTGTGGAGACGTAGCGATGACCGAGTAGGCAGCGAAAGCCACTGTCGGGCTGCCTGGAACGAGAGTTTGTTGGAGACCACGTGTCTTGCCCGGTGAGTTGAAGTAAACACAAACCTTGAACTCTAACGATTCCTTGGCTGCCTTGGCTTTTCGCGCAACCATTGAACATGAAGGTCAGAACTATCTTGGGCACCTGAACTGAACAGCTAAGGTGTCCACGAGCCTATGCAGATGCACTGGAGTTGTTGGCTGGTGGAGTGTTCAGCCAGCAGACACTCCCTTTCCCGACTCTGAGTACCGTCTCCAATGTGCTGCAGGAAGAACTGTCCGAGTGCAACAAGAATCTCTGGCATCTGTGGCCCGGAAGCGAGGCGGCTGGGCACTTTCTTGCCATGCCCCGGCGTGTCAGTGAAGAGTTGGTGGCCCGGGATGCGGCTGTGTTCCTAGACGACCAGAAGAAGTTTCAGACGGCCAAGCTCTGCTTGCTCTGCTCGGATGGAGAGTTTGCGAGGCTCAAGGGCGAGTTGCGTGCCGCTCTCCGAAGGCTTTGTGTGACTGGTAGGCGACGGACGGTCGTGCAGGTTCCAGCCGCCTTGGGGGGCATACTTGAAGAGGTCAAAGGAATCACGTGGCTACAGCCGCAGTCCCTGGCCAATATGCTGAAAGGCTTTGACACCAAGCATGCCACAATTGAGGAGGCAGACGCGCTTGTGGAGTACCTCCTGTCACCACAAGGAGCTGGACCGCTAGCACTCTTGCATGGACTGAGGCTTTGTCCGCTGCTTTCTGGCCGAAAGGGTACTTTTCTCCACCGTGTAGACGGGGAGCCGTACTACTGGACAGAAGACCCTGAGATGCAACAGCTTTTGCCAGACAAGGAGTTCGTCGATCCCTCTTCCCGCACTTTTGCCCTGCTGAAGCCACGAGTGGCAAATTCGCACTTGAACATCTCTTTGCTCAACTGCAAAGCTCTGACACCTCTGCTGCCATCAATTTTGCCGCCGTCTTGGAAGAACAAAGGCCAAGTTGTAGTCAATAAGGCTGGGCAGATTGAGGTTGATGGCAAAACTCAGGAAGCGGCGCGGCAGGAATACCTCTTGGCACATCAGGCTGCACGCAAGGCTGCAGCCCCAAAGCACAGCTCAGCCAAAAAGCTGCAGTCAAGAACGTTGCCGAAGGGCGCGAAAAAGGGGCAGCGTGGTGTGAAAGACCATGCGTGGCACGAGGATTACGACGACGAGGACTGGGAGGAGGATGAGGGAGAGGAGGAGTTTGAAGAGCCTGTCGGGCGAGCCATTCCTGATACAAAACCACAAAATTGTCCAATTCTCGATGTGGCGGGGCTGGAGGCCGTGGTTCGTCGTTGTCGTTTGATGTGGAGACTGGTGGAAAAGAGTCAAGAGAAGGGCAACAGCATGGAAGGACTCCAGCTGTTTCCATGTGTACCGGTGGAAGAAGCAGAGCCGCACCATGTGGGGTGCGACGGGTGCTTGCGCCTCATCAGCTTGCCGTCTGCGGACAACAAGCAGCTGGCCGCCATCGAGGATTTCTCGGTCGAGGAGGTCGGGGAAGGCTTCTGAACTAGGGTAACTAGGTCATTTTTGGTGGCAAACTTTGCAGCAGCCGCAAGTTTCCAAGCAGCCCCAAGGTCAAGCTTCTGAAATCCATGGGTGTGCCGATGCTCAGACCGGGCAAGAAGCTGCGTACCGCCCTTGGCTTAGACCGGAGCTCAGTGGTTCGAGCTTTATGCCGTGCCCTTGAGGAGGAACTCGGTCCTCCTGTTGCCGTAACAGGTCCGAATGCTCGGCTTCATTTGGGCTTGAAGTTGATGAGGCTGCCTATTGAGAGGGCCGTTCCGCTGCAGCGCCTTGTGTGCTCAGTCCTAAGAAGAGGCAGCGCGAAAGATGCCGAACGTGCCTTGGCCTTGCCCATCTTCCCGACAACCGGTGGCCGGTTTGCAGTTCCGCTGCTTCCGACTACTGCTTCCGTGATCAGCCCTGACGAGATTTGGGATGAGCTGCTGAATCCCTACTTTGAGGACTTCCTGGTAAGCTGGGAGGGATCAGCAGGCGATGTGCTACGAGACTTCAAGATACAGCGCCCTTCATTGGCCAGCTTCCTTGCCAGCTTCTGTGCGCCCCGTGCGGGCATCTTTGATCAGCAGCTGTCTCTTCACTTTCTGGAGTGTGTTGCTACCGTGGGCGCTGTGTTTTCCCGGTCGGGTGCAAGCCGCGATTGTGAGAAGCTGGCCCAAGTCTGCGAGGCTGCACCAATTGTTGTCGAGGAGATGGGCGACTCGGAAGGCAAGGCACCCAAGCGGTATCGGGCCATGGATCTGGTTGATCCGGACGATGCGGATCTAAGCCAGCTGCTGGGCACGGCCACCTTCCCCCCAAAAGCCTATTGCACCGCCTTGATTCTGCCGGTTCTCAGGAAAGCGGGCTTGCGCAGCTTTGCTGATGAAGAATTATTTCTCCGAGCAGCACAGAGAGCTGAGTCGCAGGTACTCGCTGCACGCGACGTGGAATCAGCATCGGCGTTGCTGAACCAGCTCAGACGTAGGTTCCACAGCCTCAAATGGTCGTCGAGGCAGGGTCTTACGCATCTTGTTTTATTTGCCCAAAGAAAATGTGTGATGCTCTTGGTAGCTGGGCAAAGAAAACTCCACTGGAAGGGCTGCATGTTTATGTCCGGTCGGAGAAAACCGTCCTGGGTATCTACGTCCTCTGGGTGTCAGAAATATCCCGGAAGACTTACTTTTTTTTGGTTCCGTCGGATAACACTGTCCGGAATAGGTGGTGCTGTTAGTAGCTGGTCAAAGAAAGCTCTCCTGGAAGAGTTTCGTTTTCTGGTTGAAGAGTTGAAGGAAGGTCCTAGGCACGTGGGTGTTTTGGTAGCTGGTCAACAAAAACTGTCCTGGAAGACTTGCGCCTTTGCGGCCGGTCGGAGTTAAAAGTATCCTGGGCATGTTAGAAGCCGTGCTGGGTATGAACTGTCCTGGAACGGGCGCGCTGACAAAACAGTCCTGGGTGTTTGGTGGCTTTGCTCGCTGGTCAAACTTGCCGAGCGACCCAAAGCTGTTTCGAAACGGCCAGAGTTCGAAGGTTTTTGGTGCTCTCTCACCCTGGAGTTGACATGTGTTCATTCAAACTTGTTCCCGACATACCTCCTGTCCCAAGTTGGCCAACCCGCCTGGAGGACATATGCTTCGTTAAGCCGCTTCCGCATCTTCCCCGCCCTCCCAGCCACTTCACGCCTTGGAGTTCAACCTCCTGCCGCTCCTGGTGCCAGTCGGGATTGCGTGGCGCTGGACACTCCCTGCACGCTCTTCGAGCATGCGCCGCTGGCCTGGACGCAGCTTGTGGTCCTGGACCCCGAGACCTACCGCGGCTGGCCCAAAGCACTCCTGCAACGTTTCGGGAGCCTTCAGGATCCACCGTCGCTGGAAGTAATAGTAGCAAATCTTGCAGAGATCGCCAAGAGGTGGTCACAAGAGGCTTTGCCGACAGGGACTGAGTCTCGGCGAGAAGTTGTGGAGCAGCGCCAGCAGGTCACCATCCGGCACCTGAAGGCTTTCCAGCCGATGTTCCACAAACGAAGTCATTCGACCCAGATCATGGTGCAGCATCAACTGAGCAACGTGAACTTCTTGGTTTTGGACGACGGCGCCTTAGCGAGTCCATGCCAAGTCTTCACTGCGCTCCATGAGGGAGCTGATGCCTCAGAGGATGAAGGGCCGGAAGGTGCGGAAGGTGCAGGCTATCCGACCCGCAAACGTCGTACGCAGGGCACCTGGAACCTACCAGGCTACCTGCGACCTTTCCGCCGGTTGCTGCTAGGCGTGGCAGGACCTGCTGTTCGCCTGAAGCGGCAGCTTCCGACGATCAACGTGCCACCAGCGCCAGCGGCCTCGGCGGTGCCTACTTTCATTAAAACCTCCTTGAACAAACCCGAGCTCGCCGACGTGATTTTTGTCCTGCAGGCGGATGATGGCACCAAGGAGATCTATGCGCATCGCTTGGTGTTGGCAGCCGCCTGCGAGCATTTTCGAGTTCTTTTCACCTCCGACTGTGTTGAGGCAAAGGAGCCGCGATGCCGTCTCCAGTTGCCGGACTGGGTCTCGTCGAGGGGGCTCTTGTGGCTGCTGGCCTATTTTTACCAAGGCTTTGATGCTTTGCTGGCCCAAGAAGTGGCCTACCAACTCGACCGGGGTCTTGAAGTTTCCGAGGTGGTGGTGCCAGTAAGAGTGGCGGGCAGGTCCCAGCGGCCACGGTGCTTGGCTACTTCGGACACTGGCGAGGACCTTTGTTGCCTTCTCCGGCTCTGTGAGTTTTACGATGTGAGCCACTTAAAGAAGTGGACGGAGAACGAGCTAGGAAAACTTCTGACGGGGGAGAACCTCATCGCGCTCTCGACGCATGCTTATTTCTGCAACGCCAACCAGCTGCTGAATGTCTGCATCTACCATCTGAGAAGCCAGTATGCTGAACTGGTGGGCCTGGAGGAGTGGGAGTCGCTAGAGCCCGCGATCAGGGAGTTAGTGTTGACGGACGTGACCGGGCCAGACTGAGATCTGAACATCGGGCTTCAAGGTGCAGTGGTTGTTCTTGTTCTGATTCTTTGGTTACTCTGCTCAATATCATGACGTGAATGCCTGTGCAGTGGCAGCCCTTCGGAGAGCCTTGAGTCCTGTACAGATCAGGCAGCCGGCGGGAAACAAGCAGGTCTTCATCACTTCTCGAATGATGCCACCAATGAGAGAACAAACGCTGGCACCCTAATGCCATCTAATGCCAATGTTAAACGGTACTAACGAGAAAAGTGGCAGGAATAACAGCAGGAACTGAAGGAGGTGGCACGAAATTCTAATCGACATGCCGGACATGCTCCAAGCACCAAGAGCTGTGCTGGCAATGCCAGCTCACAAAACAAGCACGTGACCCGTTAGTGAAGTTAGTGCCGCAACAGCGAAAAGCCTTATGACTTGTGGCCGGGTTCTTTGTGCTGTTGCGATGTGATGTGGACCCGGCTGCTTAAGGACCTGTCAATTGATGGCAACCGATGAGAAACTCAGCATCGAAGCGCCTCGGATCATGTGCCTGTTCACTTAGGCCCTGGCGCACTCGCAAACCCCAGCCACTGGCTTCATGGCCGCAGCCGCCGGCTATGCCAAGGCTTCGGGCGTTGCATTTAGAGGAGGTCAAACAAAAAGGAACAAGAGCAATCTCGCGTATGATTGGGTCTGTAGTAGTGATCACCGTGGCAGCTCGATCAGCTTCACACTGCTATGCCATCTTCACTATCCTTACCGTCTTTCTCATTGCCACCATTATCATATATTATCATCACCTTTCCGATGAACATCATCGCCGCAGCTTCTGAAGGGATGATTCATGCCAGCCTAATTGCCAACACCCCAGTACCGATCAACAACAAAACCAGACAGACGGAACCATCATTGCCTGTTGGCAAAGTTGGTCTCAACCCAAAAACTTAAAGGCGTGAAGGCTGAAACCTCAAGCATATCGTTATAGCCTTGAAGAGGAATGGCTCATTTGCCCCCCTACCCGTCTTGTAAACGACCTACTGTAGGGTTTATAGCTTGAGGCTCAGATCTTAGGGTGTAGAGCTGGATGAAGGTTGTGGTCAGGGTTCAGTTTTTTTTGGTATTGGGACGTAAAGTTCAGGTTAAAAGCTGGCTGGGCGCAAGCTTCAGGGCCTCGGGCTTAGGGATGTAGCGTTCAAGGGAATGAAGGGCTCCTTCTCGTACAGCGCAGAGTTTCTGAGATGGAGCTTATGCCTACATGAAGCAGTGATGCTGCGAGGACTTGATAGCTTTAGGGTTTCGGCCTTTCTTCGGGTGGTTGGAGACTCTCTGCTGCACTCCAATCTCCTTCTCCCTCTCGCCATACTGATCTCCCTCTCCGACCAATCCCTCTCCGACCAATGCCTTGTTGATTAGAGTTTCCCGAGCTTTGGTTTGCACATCGTTTTCGTCATGATCGTATGTCATCGTGTGTGTGTTGCATTGTGAGGGTCAGCGCGTCAACCTGCAGGCACGGCAGTCCTCTTTCGGCACCCAGGAGCTGTTCCCTGCCAAGCAAGTGTAAGACTGTAAGACTGTAAGCATTGGGCGAGTGTTGACGTGCAGCAGGGCATCCTGGCATAGTCCAACAGTCCAAGTCCGACACTAAAAAGGGAGGCGTACTGCAGGGTTGACTGTTCTTGGAGTTGGGCCTTGGTGGGAGAAGTTCTGGGGTGGGAGAAATCGCGTAAGTCTTGTGGTTTGCCCGACATGACCCGATATGGATACCGGAGGAAGAGAGAAGAACCTGTTACGGGCTTTAGACTTCAGGATCAAAACCTAGTTTGCTTTGCACGGCCGAGCGGCATCCGCTCCAAAACCTCTGAGCCCTCAGCCCCCCCGCCAAATCCCAACCCGCACGAGGCTGCGTTTTCTGGGGGCCTTTCGCCGGGCAGGCCATGCAGCAGATTGTTGCAGACCGAGACTCCTAGACTTATAGATGCTTATGGTCATGATGCAAGGAGACAAGATTTCCTTTGTGCAGCCAGGAAGCACACCAAAATGAGGGCCTCTGTTCGTCACTGAGCCCAAAACTGGATCGGTTCTGTGTGCAAAGACAAGTTCTTCATTGTTGCAGCTTTGCAGCGGTAAGGGCACGGGTGCATGTATATTCTCACGTACTTCCAGGGCGCACAACATTTCTGTATGTGCTGGGCACTTCAGAAAGGCCTGACTCACCGCTCAGATCCCAGCAGATTCTCAGACAGGTTTTGTATCTGTTTGATCTAATTGCAGGAGGTTGTAATGATATGTAGTAGCTGGAGGTTTAGGGTGGAGGTGCACGTGCAAGCTTCCCAGCAACCCTAATTTACAAACTCCTCCATCCTCAGCCCCGTCGTATGGCAGGGTTCAGTGCTAGCTAATCCGGGACGTGGGAGGTGGGGATGCCGAAGCCTACGCCGAGATGACCTCAAGGCACTGTCGCGATTCTTGCCTCCGGGATCCGCTCGGGTTTCATCATGTTTGGGTTCTGGCAGGTCTCGGGCTCAAAACGGACGGGTTGGGGTGCAGCCCCTCAGCCGTAGGGCTTGAAGCCGCCACCCGAATCCATCGAATCCATCAACTTTGCAGCAGCACATGCATGCTTGTCTTGGGTGACCTGGCCGATTGAACCAAGGAAACTGTGAGTCGCCAGAAGCATAAGATTCCAATCGAGAGAAGCACCAGCACTTGCAAGCACCTTTCCTGTCTAGCATTGTAGGTCCAACATAAGGCTGACATGCAGAGAAGACTACCGAAACACCATTCTGGTTTTCAGGCTTTCAGGCCCGTGCCTACAACCCCGACACTTTCCCCTTCCGTGCAGGAAGTCAAACCCTGTCAATGGCAAAGGGGCTACCCGTTTTAACGCCCCATTGAACAGCCAGGAGCTATGGGTATTTCATAAGCCTTCAAGCTCTAAACCCTACCACATCGCATCGCCGCTATAGCCGTCTTTCATGGCAGCTTTGATCAAGAGCCATGCTTTTCCGCTATCATCATATCATCACAAAGCCTGCCCCAAAACCACAGTCGAGCTGTTAGACCGTTGAAAACCTCAAGTCTGCACCCTTGACTTCAACCTCGCAAGCCAGTATCAATCCTGAACCCAGGAGCACAAGATCACTCGTCAGCTGCAAGTTGGTGACGTGCATTTTCAAGTCTTTGATTGTTTACTGCCAAACTGGTATATAGCGAGACATAGCCACGCCGCTATGCGGGTCCTGGCGACGTAGGAGGCGATAAAGAAGAGCCCTCGGCTGTGTATGTGGAGGCAGCAGGAACTGCATTACGACTTCCCGGCGCTGGGGGGTTTACAGGCTGGCTGGGGTGTCGGGTCAGGGGTGCCCAAAGTCGATAGACATCACCGCGCATCGGAAACCATGAAACGAAAGCTTTCGCAGGCCTTCATTCATAAATCTTGAAGCTGAAGTCATAAGGGCCTCGGCACTGACCTGTACCCAGACCCGAAACCCTGATCCCCAAACTGGGTCCTGGAGTTGTGGCACTTTTCGTGTGTTATTGTTTTCGCTGATGCGTAAGTGTCAGCATCTCATTTCGTCCTCTGCAACCTCGCTTGTGGGCATTGATCCCGGCCATGCGAAAAGAGGGCAGCAAGCACCACGAGGTCGCTCTCCAGGCTGCGACACCTGGGCAGCCAAGCCGCACACGGCGCCGCGTGCGAGCAGCTGCGCTGCGAGAGCAGTCGGAGCTGAAGGCACCCGAAGCTTTCGCCCAAAAAGCTTGTTTGTTTCGAAGTTTGGGCTTTGGGTTTAGTGGGTTCAGAGTTAATGCGAGTTTTGGGCGTTACATTGCAGGACAGAGCATGTAGATTCATGGTTTAGGCTTCGGCTTTTGCGTGTTCGTTGAGGGTCTAGAGTCTCGGGTTGCTTTGGGGTTGGATGTTCTGGATGTGCTTGCTGTTTAGGGTGTGCTTACGAACTTGTTGTCATTCGTGTTACTGCTGCTGAGGCTACTTTCAGTCTTGTCCTTATCAGTGCGTCTTCACCATAATTAGCTGGAGGAGTGCAGTGGGCTTTAGTTGAACTTCTGGGGTTTGCGCGAGTGAAAATTGTGAGTGAAGCTGGGTAGGAGGGGTTTTTCTGTGCGATCAGGAGTTGAGGCGTTTGTCTCTCCGCAACTAGGTGAAGTACGACGTGTTTAAGGAAGCACTCGCCTACGTGAGCGACATGTGCACCTCAATCCCTCAACTTTTCTGCAGGGAGACCCACAGCGGGCAGATGGAGGAACTACAGGACACCCGGCGGGGCCTGTGCAATGCAGCGCATTCTACTTTCATGTTCATTGTTTAATTGAGGCCTTCTCAATCTAGAGCCATGGTAGTGGAGCTTCTACCTTATTGAGGCTTCGTCAGTCGTTAGGGTTGAATCTGGTTGGGGATCTCGACCTATTCAATAGCACCGAAATTGCAAAAGCAGACATGCAAGGCCCTGTCCGTTTCAGCCCCCTACTCGCACATCAAGCTTCTCCACATCCCTTCTTAGCCGAAGCCCCCGAACTCCTACCGAGTGGGTTCCTCGGGCAGGAGTAGCACTGTGGGAGGCCTCCTTTGTGCTGGCTGAATGGCTATCCAGGCCATTTGAGGAGTTGAATGTGCACGGTTCAAGGAGGTGAAGTGTTTCGTGTGAACATTACCTTCGAATATCTGATGGCTTAGTAGCTCAGACGACTGCTCAGGCGCGGGGGTTTAGGCCCAAGAAGTGTCTTTGCCTCCTCCCTACCCCTCTCTCCCATGTACAGTTTAGGGCATTTACGCCCCGTGACCAAGCTGCGAATTTGGGCTCATGCCTTGCCTGGCACAGTCCGAGAGTGAGGGTCAGAAAACCTTTGGGCAACCATGCTTTACTGACTTAGAAGTGGGGTTTCGGCCTAAGTTTAGCTTCTGGATTGGCATGGACTTTCCCGTTGCGGGCCAAGGCTTTGCAGGTTTCGCCAGCGTCTGTGACCAAACTCCGCGGAACAGAGCTTCCAAAAACACAACGATGCCATGTAGAAAGTGTCATGTGCGGCCTCGCTGTGCCAGATCACGACTTTTTGAGAACAACTGTCTTTGAAACTTCACACATTCAGGACCACACGACAACTGATTTCTACTGTTGCCGACACCTGCGAAAGTCGCTCGCCTGTGCAAATGTGTATGTGTGTAATTGTGTGTTACTCGCAGAGCCGAATTAGTCGCTGCTGCCCCACACTCTACACCCCAAACTGCTTCTATTGTGTGTTTCGCTCGGATGTTGGCCACGCGACACTGTCGTATTGACAAAGCAACATGTTAACGCACTGTTCCTTACAAGCGCCGCCACCTTGCTTTTTGTTCCGTCGCTCAGTCCACATGACAGCCTTCTGTGAGATCTCACCTTGTCAGATCATCGTTTCGACTCCATTCACACCAAAATTCAATAACCTCTCAACCCTCAAATCCTGAATGCTGCTGATTACCTGCCCCGACCCGGGGCTGCAAAATTCATTCGCTGGTCCTTTACATATACCTTTCCCTAGCCTGTGCTAAGCAGTTTGCCGTGAGTAGTGGCTGAGATCTCTAGCTAGATCATGACGGACAGCACAGATCTTAGTGGGAGCAGCAGTCTGTCTGAACTAGGTTTATTCCTTAGTGAAGGTGGTGTCACACGGCTGAAATAGCTCTCGCCGGTACAGTTTCACAACTTGTTAGCAGACCTCGAACCATATGCCTCGCCTGGATTGTCCGAGTGTGAGCGCCGAAACCCTGCATCCAAAACGCGAAAACCTTGAAGCCTTCAACCGGAGGCAGGGGGACGGTCAAGGCGGTCTTCTGGCCTGCAGTGCCCTCCAGGACTGCGAGTCAGCGGCTCGCGGTTTCTCTTTGGGACAAAGTTGAAGGCTTCCGAGATGTAGGGTGCAGAAGTTGGGGTCCGTACGGGTTCAAAAAAGGGTTTGCTGACACCAGGACTGAGTACGTGTGAGAAAGAGAGAACGGCGCGTAAGAGCGCTTCCATGGGTTTAGGGTTCAAGTTCAGGCTATCAGAAATTTTGAAATGAGGTTGGTTGTTTTTCAGGATGTCGAGTCTCTGGTTCAAGGTTTGGGGCTTCAGAATGGTTCAGACTCATGACTCAGACTTTGACGAAAAGTTGGATTTGGGAGGTTCGTTTCCAGGTGCTGGGGCATCGTGGGTTTCCAGTCCGAACCTCTGAACCCCGAAATCTCATGCACCTGCGCCACGCGCCCATATCCAAGCTGTAGAAAATTACTGGCTGAAGTAGTCGAGAGCCGAACACCTGCAAGATTGGACCCTCAGCCTATCTCTGCAAAGCTTCTTACTTTAATGCATAGTCAAGCTGAAAACCCTGACAGTCTTGGAACAGTTGGAGCGGCCAGAGAGAGGCACCAGGCGCAAAGATAGGCAGGCTGACAAGCAAAGTATGGTGCCACCGGCTTGAAATCAGTGGAAGTTGTGGCGCATGGCAGGAGCTGCTAAAAGGAGCTGGCAAAGCCCAGCGAGCCAGGCACACACGTCAAAGATGCATGTGAGAAGCCTCAGAATCGGGGTCATTGGCAAGGTCTGGCAGCACTCCTTTTCTTGTGATTTCGACTCGACGTATGCAGTGACAGCACGTCAAAGTCAAATGTCATGGCCTCTAGGGCCTCGCAGGGCCTCGCACCCGATGCCCAAACTTATCCAGAGCCTCAGTGAGAGAGACGTGCTCAGATGGCGCAGATGGCACGGCAAGGCCGGATCGTTGTGCTTTCGGGCTAGGTCTAGTTTAAGGTTCCCCAAGCCATCCCAAACTCCTACGGTGAGGGCTTCGGGCTAGAAAATCTAGGAGTTCATCCTCCTTTGTGCTCGATTCGGGCGGCCGGCACTTCACCTCCATCCCCAACACTGCAAACGATGCATCTCCTGAGCCCAACCCCGCGAACTCCAAACCTCACCGGGCTCCGAGTGTGAGAACGCAGACCCAAACACCAAAGCGGCCTTGGCTGGATAAAGGCTTCGAGCCATCACACACGAAACTCTACAGCCTAATCCAGCAGGGATCTGGATCTCCTAGGCTCCAAGCTTTTCGCTCCAAGCCTCAAGCGGCTCCTAGTGCCCGGAAAGCTTCGTCTTCTTCGCCATGCTTCAGGTGGGGGTGGAGCTGGGCGCTGGCCTGGGCACCGCCCTTGGGGCTTCCTTTTGATTAGCGATAGCCATAGACATGATACTACTAATCGAGAAGGAGGAGCAATGCTACGCCGTACCTAAATCAAGGTATGCGCTATAGGGGCTATAAACATATGTTCAGGTGGACAGGTCTGACAACAAGCAGCCAATGTAGGGTTGAGGTTTTCACTGGAGGATGTCCGGTTCGGGACTTCGACCCAGGACGCAGGATTTAGGGTTTGAGGGACTTTCAAAGGGGGTCTTGAACTTTGGGCCTCATCAATCGGAGGCGGTTTGAAGGGTTGAGGAAGTCCTAGGCTCGTTTCATGTCAAACCATCACCCCATCAGTAATCAGCATGATTTTGCGTAGCCATCTTTAAGACGAGGTTTCTCGGTATTTTGCTGTCACCTCGAAAGCCAGGGCCGCGGAGCCGAACGGTCAATGGCGTGAATCCTCGAAGCCTGGAAAATGTTACTTTTGCGAGAGCTGCTTGGGTCCACAGCCTTCTGGATGTTGGGGACAGGCCTGCCGTCGATCGTTGCCTCGCAGCTGGGCGCGAGCGTCGTGGCAACGGAGTGCAGCGGGCTTCGGAGTCTGGCATGAGCTTTGATCCTTCTGGGTAGCTTGAAGCTTGAGCTTGCAATGCACAAACCTGCATGTGCGGCTAAGTCACAAGCTCTGGCAGCCTCTTAGCCCCGGCCATTTCGATCTGCAATTCTATATCAGGGTGAGCACCAACCGTGTTGCTGTGCAGGGTCCTGACTCCCCCTTTACGGCCTGAACTTCGCGTTCGTCCCAAGCCCCTTAGACCCTCAGACCCCGTAGACTGTGACCATGTGCTGCCGCGAAGACCAGGACGGCGACGCTTCTGTGCTGACGCTGCTTCGGCGGAATGTGGAGGAGAACCGAGGATCAGGCCAGGCCAGGGCAACAGGCAGCCAGGGGCCAACAAAGCAGAGAGCGTTCGCCAACCAAAGGGCACACCGGTGCAATGCAGTCGAGGCTGAGTTCTGCTTCCTCAAAGATCTTCATGCCTGGGCTTGTCAGTTTCAATTCTGACATCGCCAGACCGTCGTAGCGACCCAGAACTGCAACCCCTTACAAGCCCCAAACCTTGAACCAGCCCTGGGAACCCGCATCTTTCTGAAGCACAAGCCATCACAGAAGATACGCACCCTTGTGAGATCCTACACAACAGATAAGGGCCCAGATCCGCCTCAGCCTTCAACTGCCAGCTGCATTGCCGGCACAGGCGCTTTGCGGGCAGAGGCGTTGCTGTGGGGCTCCGAGGCCTCTCAAAGCCTTCAAGGTTTTGGGGTTCAGGATTGAGGACTGACTGTGAAGCTTAGGGTTTAGCTGCTCAGGGTCGGTAGGTTTGTTTCTTGGTTTAAGGGAGTTTCGGTTTGGGCTTTGGGGTCTGCGGTTGCAGGATAAGGCCGATTCTCATTGTTGAGGTTCTACAAGTAGAAACGGAGGCTCTAGAGATCTTTCGGGGTGGTGTTGGACCAGCTCCATGAAAAAAGAGTGTGCCTGTTTGCCTGCGATCTCCAGCTCAAGTCTGACAATGTGCCTATAGGCCTAGACCCCGGCCCGACACTTGGGCCGTTTTCTTGCAGCAGAGCAGCCATGGCTTGGTCTACTGCCGAGCTTGTGGATGGCAGGCCGGAAGTACTAGCAGAAGCAGAGTTGTGGTGGAACTATAGGTGCTACAGTTGAAGCCTCGGAAGCCGTCCTTATTGGTTCAACCAGGCTCGGCCAAATGTGGTCCTCGAAGGTTCTGCCGAAGTAATGGGCAAACAAGCAAAACAGATGACTTGAGGGTTGTTGATCCGTGGAAGACTTGCAGCGCCACCTCCGCTACAAGTCTTCGATGCTCGCATGTCTGATGATACGAGCGGGTGTAGAAAACCATCAGTAGACGATGTGACAAATATTATGCCTTGCATGAGAGCGAGGTCCCGATGCAAAAGAGAAGACGAGGTTGAGGGATTAGGGCCTAGAGCTCGACTCAAGCGTCAGGGACCAAACAGAGAAGCTCCTGACAGGAAGGCTACACTTCTAGTCTGGTCTCTCTTTACGCTGCACTTGCTGATTTTCGGTCGCGATGCTCAGACGCAAGTCGTGCGCCTTGCAAGTTAGATCTGTTGACATACCAGGTTCTGCGGACTTGTGCTTGCAGCTGCGGTTTTGGACCTTTTGATCCCCTTGTCCTTGTTTCCCGGACGGCAGCAAGGATGCGGCGGTGAAAGCCGGGCGGTGGATGCACGCGACCTGGGTGCGCTTGGAATCCCAAGTCGTCGATTGATAGATCCCACAGCCGGCCAAGCCAAACCTCCCATGAAGTTTTCAATCAAACTGAAAACCTCAACACGGAGCCCGAAGCTTTGAAAGGCCTAAACCCTGAACCCTATCTCCCCACAGAAGAACCCTACACCCAGGAGAGATATGCTTCGAAGAGCACCCAGAAGCCGCAGCCGCGCGTCGATGAGGCGATGAAGCTACAAATCGAGAAGAACTTCTTCTTACAAAGTTGCTTCATGCAGCTTCGTTCATTTCAGGCTTAATGTTTGGGGTCAGGTTTCGCTTCCTCGCGTCATGTAAGGTTTATTCAACAGCCGGTTGCAAGCTAATTAGACAAAAGCTCCGCGTTCCAAGATCGTTTCTTTTTTGCTGCCCCTTTAACTCATTTAGGGTTTCTGGTGGTGGGTTTATGCACTATAGGGTTGAATCCTAAGCGCCAAATGTTAGGCCTCAGCTACCAAGGCACCACGGGGCGGCGCTGTCGGTGCCACTGTTGTGGCATGCCCCGGGCGCCCGGACCGGCGGGGGTTTAGCCACCATCCCTCCGCGTAGATAGGCATAGCGGAATATCCCAGGAAAGGGAAGCGATTCGCTGGCACAGGAAACGATATACATATGTACTAGAGAAGGTTCTACACATACAGTACCTATATCTATCTATTTACTTACTTATCTATCTACCTATCTACCTGCCTATCGATCTATCTATGTGGCTGCCTACCTCCTTAACCTACCTACCGACCTACCGACCTACCGATCCACCTATCTACCGATGTACCTGTCCGCGTATCAATCAATCATTCAGTCTACCTATCCAGTTATACGAATCTACACCTATCTATATGTGTATATATATATATATATACACACATCTACACATATATGTATATACGCTCATGTATACGTACCTTTCTGTATCTATCTACCTACCTATATCTATCTATCAGTTTGTTTGCCTGTCTATCTATTTATCTATGTGTATCTGTCTGTCTGTTCGTGTATCGACCTACCCATCTGCCCATCTGTCCATCCATCTATCTGTCTATCTCCGTGTTTATTTATTTGTCTGTCCATCTGTCTATGTATCTATTTTGTCTTTCTACCAATTTCTTGTCAAGGTCTTTTGTGAGTCTAGAGTTGAGGTTGCCGAATCAAACCCAAGCTCCTGACTTCGAACCTTCGATCTGGTGGCAAAAGGACACTTTGCTTTCTGGGCAGCGTCGCTTACATCATGCATGGATGCGTCAGCTGTGGAGTCATAAGCATGACTGCCAGCAGGCCTCTTCTCTTGTTCTGGTCGCAGTGCTGGTGGCCATACTAGACTTAGGATGCAGTCAATTGTAGTCTTACTGCAGAGGTCGAGAATGATCTTCGCCCTGGTTTACGTGGCCCTTGCCGCCAGCATATGGGAAACCCGGGGCCTGGAGGGCCCCGAGGGTACTGTCGTGCAGAACATCTACACCCTCACACGCATGATTATGACCATCGTGCAGATCGATGCTTCCCTGCACGTGCCCGCACAGGTGGGTCTTTCCATCGTTGAGGTGGGACTGGGAGCTCGAAACCTGGTTCCCAGGCCCACAACGATCCCCAATTTCGAGCCTCCAGGTGCTTGGGGCGTTGCAGCTCAACGGCCCGTCGTCTCATGTGCTTCTTCTGGCCTTCAGCCAGACCTTTCTCGCGGTGTGCTGCATGGTCGTAGGCTCCTTGCAGGAGAAGCGTGAATTTAACGTGCGCGCCAGCCGCTCTTTTATGATCAGTTCGTCCATTCCGCATATATTATTTGAATGCCTAATTGTATGCCCTGAGACTGTCATCCCAGAAACAGAACACGATTGCCCGTCCAAACCTTGCTTTGCTTAGATTCCGTTTCAAAGCAGGAGGCTTCCCTTCGACAAAACTTCGCGGCCCAGTTTCGGTCGGAGGATGCTGAGGCAATGGTCCAAGGCTTCCGGCGAATGCTGCAGGGACTCTGCGATGGTTCTGTGCTCCTCGATCCTGGGCCGATGTCTTATCTGATCATGTATTGTGCAGCTCTCTCTCTCTCTCTCTCTCTCTCCCTCTCCCTCTCCCTCCCCCTGCCTGCCTCCCCCTCTCCCTGTTCCTCGCCCTTCTTGCAGGTGGGCAGATGTGCCGGCGATGTGTGTGTGTGTGTGTGTGTGCGTTAACGGCACTTTTCCGAAGGCACTTCATGCCCTAAGAGCGCAGAGCTTTACTCTTCATTCGTTTGTGAGTGTATGTGTGTGTGTGTGTCTGATTTTCCCGTCTGCGGGACAAAAGATGCTGCTAGCTGCCAGCAGTTTCTGCAAGGTTTTCTGTTTTAAATTTCTGTTGGATAAAGCTTCCAAGTGTGAGATTCCAAAACCTAGGATGGCGGCCTGAGCATCCAGAGCAAAAGTCAATGCCTGAGTCAGATGCTGTCGACGAATGCAGAAAGCTTGGAGGGGGTGCATTTCCCGGACCTTCTCGTGGAAGCTGAACAGGACGTCGGTTTGTTTGTCAAATTACATGAGCATGTCAACGGCAAGAGCGGGTGTTGAAGGTTTAGGATGTGCAGGCTCAGTGTCCTGCTTGATTCGATATCTGCAGGAACGCAGACGCTTCCGCCAGTTCATCAAGACATCCACCTCTGTGGCACCGGAACAGGAAGGAGCTCCACCTTGCCTCCGCGTGTCTCTGCGAGGCAGCGAAAAGCTGCCGCCAGTGGGCGTAGATCTCTTCCATGTCTCTTGGGATCGTCATTTGGGATCCATTTTGTTTTGTTGTGGGTAGGCTGCATCCGAAAAGCTGGGCCAGGGTCCTGCTTGCAACATGCCGCATGTAGTCTGGACACCTTGATGAAAGGTCAGATGGCAGTCAGCATTGCATGTCAAGGCGAGTGTGAGAGCGTTGAAGCGTCCTAGACTCAGCCCAACGGGTCACGAGTCAGGTTTCACTGTCCCATCTATATGGCTCCGACGACGGCTATCACCTCCTGGCCTTGCGACAAGATGCCGAGCGAGAGTTTCTGCCAGACGTCACGAACTTCCGGCAGCTCGGTGCCCCAAAGAAGGAAAGTGGGGGTGGGCGCATGCGTAGCGCAGCCTGCGTAGCGCAGCCTGCGTAGCAAAAATGGCGATTTCTTGAATCCGATGGCCCAGTGGCCCAGGCCCGAGCTGCTGAGGCCCTCGGTCTTACGCCGTGCCACTGACGCTTGGCTTCTGGCGCGATTTTTGGAGGAGAAGGGGTCAAAAGGCAGCTGTCCTGGCGTGACGTTACGAGCCAGTTGCAAAAGGGATGAAATAGCGCTAAGGGGTTTACGGTTCAGGCAGGTCAAGCTAGGTCAAGATGATTGCAGGTCGTAGACTGGCTAGACTTGCGCCCAGTAGCAAAAAAAGGCAAGTCAAGCTTGAAGACATGTCTTGCAAGTTGACCGACGATGAGCCCCGCACGGCCAAGGCATGTAAGTGGGCCTGGGTGGGCGGGTGGGATGCGGCTGGAGACGATGATGCTCTCTTTCTCGTGCATGTGGTAGATGTGCTTTAGCAGCTGCTGCTGATGGCCGTGGCAACCACACCCACTAGACTAGCCGATGGTGCCCCGAACATTTTCTACCGGATGTAGATGGCGCCCTGAACCACGCATCCTATGGAGCAAGCCGGTCCAACCCTCCAGATTGTCCGAGTGCGAGTGTCAAACCCCACAGTTCAGTCTGCGGGAGAATGCCACTTAGACTGTAGACTGGTCCTTTGGTCCTTTGCCAGCGGCTGCACCTTTTCCAAGGGCAGCCGAAAACGATGTGCCTCGGTGACCTCGGAGGGGTCCGCAGCATCGATACTGCAGACACCTGGTTGAGTTTGAGGCTGTCTAGTTGGGTTTTCTGGGATTTTTGTTGCCGCTTACATCAGGTCGCCGAAGAGCAAAGTGGAACGCGAGAATTGACATAGGTCCTAGGCAAGGGCCTCTGAACGGGACAACTCAGGACCTTGCCCCAGCTCAAGGAGATGATCCTCGGCCGTTCTCGGCTTCGTTAGGAAGCAAGACGTTCTTCCTGGGGCTTCGGGTTTTTGGGGGCTCAGGTTTCTCAGAGGTGTCAGGATTCTGAGGACATCTTGCTGCTGGAGGAGTTGCAGAGCCTGCCAGAGAACAGAATGGGATCTTGTAGACGGAACATATTAGACGCAGCTCTTGTCATAGTGAGTTCTCTCAATCATTTGGAAGAGCTTGTTTCTTTCCCTGCCGATGACATACTAGCTTCTAGGTCACTGCGTCCCATAGTCCTATGTAGGGTCATGAGAGCCCACCAAATGCTTTTCGAGGATGCTTTTGGTGGAAGCCAAGCGGGAACACCAGGATGTCTGTCAAGTACATCTGAACTACAAGGTGCCCTGGGGTTGGGTTGTATGGTTAGACCTATCTGCATGCATTCCCCTCCCTGCAGCACGGGACCACCTCCCGATTGCACGAATTTTCAGGAGTTTGAGCCTGTAAGCCAGGCAAGCCTTCATTTCACCGTCACAACTTCGCAGGGAAAATGGAACTGGGACCACTTTGTTTTTGCCGGGTCCTGGTCATGCATGCAGGCTGTGCATTTGATGCGGCTCAGGGTGGACCTCTGCTCCATGCTCCTCCCATACCCAAAACAGCCAGGCGGCTTCGACAGACGATCCGGACATGCCAAGCCTCCGAAAGTTTATCCGCCCAACCGATTGGGAGTCAGCTTCTTGACTTCATAAGTCTTTTGCTTGAGACTCTCTTCGTGTTTCGTGGGGGTCTCCTTGGGGTAAGCTTCGGCGCACCCCCTCGCCGAATGACGGCCTTCCCGGGCTTTCAGGGTGTCGCCTTCCTTGATCGCTTTTTGGGGCTTTCTGTGAAAGGTGCGTTCTCGAGTGCGGCGGTACGGTGAGAAGGCGGCAAAGGATCCGGACTTGGAGCCCAAACACTTCCACAAGCCGGTTTGGCTCCTTGGCACAAGTGGGGCTGTAGAGGAATAGGGGCATCACCTTAACCTGAACTTGACAACCCTAGACTCTAGACGTACCGAAAGTCTTAGAGAAAGACCAAGCCGACCGCAAGACAGTGCCACAGGTTCCGGGTGATGGACCAGCCCGGGAGGTATATGCAGGCAAACAAGGCCGACCTCAAAGTGCACGGCGCGTCGAAGGCGGCTCTGGGTCTGGTCCGCCGAATGCCGAAAGCGGTCAGGGTTTTTTCGCTAGGTTTCTAAATCATTCTAAGTTCTAGGGCTTCTCAGGCCTCTCTACTGATCACTGGCCGAGTACATAAGCAGATTGAAGTTACAGAGTCGCGGGCAGGGACCTGCTGCCATCAAGTAAGAGGCCCGACCGGACGAAGAATGGCAGTTTCTTCAGAAGCATCCTTGTCCCTGCGAGAAGAAACGGATTTCTCCCCGCTTCCCCGTAGTCAGCAAAAATTGTCGTTACCAGGCCCACCAGGCATCAGGTGACCTGAACTTCACCTCCACAGGTTTGTTGACCAGATGCAGCTTGAACATATCCACGAGACAGATAGCCATCGATTGCAACAGACCCAACATTACTTACGTTCTTCTCAGGCGGTTTCATAGGCAGATGCCAGGGATTGTTTGAACTTCTTCCTCGCATCAACAGCGCACATGCTCCAATTGAGGTCTCCTTCGCCAAATAGTGTGAGCCTAATTCGACGGCTTTTGGTTTCTGTCTCTTGTCACAGCCTCTTTGAGATCTTGTCCTCGGTCTAGTGCTGTGTTCGCACATGAACTTCAATTTCCATGGCGTCACCCTCCACCTCACCCGGTCCGAGTGCCCACATCACGCAGCGAAAGACCCTGCAGCCTTGCACACCACTTCCTGACCCTGATCATCCACCTTTTTGTATCGTTTGTGAACTTGAATGAACCACCCGTACCAACCACAGGTCTGGCTCCACTTGTCAGACTTCGTCTTTCCAGAGCGCCCTTTACAGCATGTTGAGCCCGAGCTGGAGGACATTGACGAGTGATCGAGCCCACGCGTCACAAGTGTAATTGGGGCTGTGAAGGCTATATCAATACCACACTTATCACACATGACGTCATCTCGTACCTGGGCCCAAATGGAGCCCACGTGCGCGGCCACCTTTTCTCCGACAGGTGAGGCCAGTGAATGCCTGCCAGAGGAAGGCACGTGCAAAGGCAATTAATCCAGCAGGTGTTTTTCTGCGTAGGCTGAGGGGTAGAACGGTAGAGCCAATACTTACGCGTTTGACAACAAGACACTTTCGATCTTCAAATAGCCTAGTGAACAAAAAGGCTTTGTCCATGTGGCCAGCGTTTGGCCAGTTTCACAGTTTTAACATGAGATTCGGTTGCTTCCGGATTCAATGCGAGGCCAATTCGAAGACACGCCTGCCGGGGATGTTACAGAGCATTGCCCCTGCTGTCGAGAATTGGAAGGGAGTGCAGGATCAGAGGCTTCAGCCAAAACAACAAACTCCTAAGACCCGAACCAGCAGTTTCAGCAATCGGCCCTATGTCGGGCCTGTCGCAGCCGTCATAGTGAGTCCAAGCTGCCCGAAAACGGGTTTCGGTTTCGCGGCCTCAGCACCTCCCATCCTCTAGTCTAGAGAGCCGCAGGCCAGAGGGAACGCGCAGTAGTGTGCTCCGTCAAACTGCACGAGTTCGGGACCGGTCCCAAGTTGTTGTTTTCTGCACCTGAACCGCGAACTCCTCCTTTGACGCGGGTTGTTTGGAGGAAGGTTCAGGAATGCTCCCGCTTTCTCATGCCTTCAGGCGGCAAGCCCGGAAGGAACACAATCGGCTAGTGTCAAACACGTTTACTCAGTCTGACTGTTGCCTTGTCCATCCCCAGGAGAAAAAATGTTGTTTTGGGGTGCCAATTATCTATAAATCCGAATATGATGAGCAGTGTTTCTACTCCTGCTATCATGATGAGAGGTGTTTCTACTCCAGATATTACCAGTATACATGTTACACGAACCTCCATTATTGTCATCGCCGACGTGCTGTGTGCAATTGAATTTGCATTTCTGTGTTTTCATATGCGTGTATAGATGCGATTCATAAATAAATAAATATATATATATATATATATATATATGTATATGTTTATGGTTTATGTACATGTATGTGTACGTGTGTGCATATACAATGTAGATATATACACATGCTACTGCTGCTGCTTGTTGTGGGAACAGGTCCTACCGTCCTACCGATATGCCATGCTTGCTGTGTATTGAGATTCCGATCATGCGCTCTTGCGTACTGCGCAGCAATGATACATGCATGTCTCTCTGCGTGCCAGCCTGTTTGTGCGCAGATGACCACAAATCTGCAACTGGAATTTCTCGCTCTCTATCTCTCTCTCTCTCTCTCTCTCGCTATCTCGCTCTCTCATTTTCCATGTGTCCCATGTGTGTATGTATGCATGCGCGTATGTATGCATGCATGCATGCATGTGTGCATGTACATACGTACATATGTAATGCACATTTGTGGATACTTATGTTACTGATGATGCATCGAGTGCGAGTGACAAAAACTGCATGCATGTATGTATGTATGTATGTATGTACGTATAGAGATAGATAGAAGCATCGTTTTTGCGGATGCTCTCTCCATTACTCGGCTTGTTGTCACTAATGACTAATCTGCGCCAGTGTGAGCGGTATAGTCCTAGCAGCGAGACAAAGTTGTGGCCCAGTGGCCCTTCTGGGAAAATTCATCTGGGCCCGATCATGTAGCCATTTCTTCGAACGAAGTCATATGGCCAGTAGGTGAAAAAGGAGCGGCAGGGTCAGGGTTCGTAGCAGTGCTGTTTAGAATGCAGGAGTGGCTTTTCTGTGGCCTTTTCGCCTCGCAACGGAGATGTTCGATGAGCAGAGCATGGCGAACTGATGGATGCTACGTTTTTGATACCACGTTTTCAAAACGGTCGCCATGACCTTTTGAACCCCTCTACATATTCTACATATCCGAGAGGCCCCCGAATACTTAGCCCCCGACTTCGAAGTCAGAAAGCTCATGACCAGCTGGCCCTTCATGCCCGAAAGCCCAAGAGACCCAAGAGGTTTTCCTTCGCCCCTGTTTTTACACCCCATACCATGCATCCCCAAGGCCTAAACTCTGAACCCCAATGAAGAACACCCTTGCAACCCCGAAGCCTTGCCAGGACCCCCTCTCCAAGATTGGCCTCGACGAGCGTCCGGACTTCCTCCTCGCTGCAGATGCAGCTCAGCCAATTTCAAGGGGTGCAAGGGCCTGCACGACCTGGAGGTGTCACAAGGGTCTGAAGGACACAGGTACTCGACTGCAGAAGAAATACCACTTTGCTTTGCCTTCCGCGTTTGTTGCTTTTTCAGCAGCTTGCTCGGTGCTGGTAAGAGCTACCACAGAAATTTTAGGTTTCTTGACGCTGTTTCACCTCCAGGTCGCTTGGCGATCTTTGTTCGCTTAAAGTCCCCAACCCGTAGCTGCATCATAGGTGCGTCTTGGCCAGGCAGAGGCAAAAGCCAGTTCGCTGAGTTTCAATATTTGAGCCAGCACCGGCAAACTGCAGCACAAACCTGCCTGGCGGAACAGAGTCGAACCCCTTGGCCTTACAAGCCTTACTTCCCTGCACCAGGGTTTGTGACGTGGGTAATGTGTTCGGGTCAGGGGTAATGTTTTGGGGTTTTGATCATACTTGGTGGTTCAGTGTTAAGCTTGGGTTTCAAAGGCTTTTCGGTTTGGCGTTTAGGCGTGCAAACGGATGACCGCCAAACCCTAACACTAAGCCGTTTGGTCCCTAACCCTAAAACCCTAAAGCCACCTCGTCTGGACGTGTCCGAGTTGCGAGAGCGTAAAGGCACCCTAACCATCCCATCCCTCAAGGTGATCTATGCTTCGGCCAAAGAGGCTCTCGGGCGGCAGCTGCTTGACACCCTGCTGAAGCTCTCGAAGCCGGACACTGCCAGCTGTCTGATATACATATAAAGAACAGCCACTGAAGCGTTTTACGGATTAGGGCACTTGGCAAGTAGCTTGCAACGATGCCATTGGAAGTGGTGCCTTAAGGTGCTGAACATTTGCGCTTTTATGCGGGAGTTTGGTGGAAGCCATTCCAAGGCAAGCAGAGCCTCCTATGTATCCCATCCGGCTAACTTCACGAGCCTTACCGCAACCTCCTGAGTCAGGCCATTCGAGCAAAGTCCGAAGGTCGGAAGGTGCTCCACATGGTCGAGCCCCACAGTGTCACAGCCCCTCCGGACGTCTAAATACAAGCCTGATCCGCGAACCTTCCGCTGCTGGCCCTGAGCACTTCCAAGCAGACTGTTGGACCCTAGGTCCGAAGCCTACCCCGCACTCCATCAGCCCGGCTCCTTCACACCCCAGGTGATAATCATCAGCAATGTAAGGCGCTTTCGCGAGGCCGTTCCGCCGGGAAGGGTGGGGTGGGAGCCCCAAACAAGGGGAACGACCTGTGAACACGATACTTGTAGGTCTTGAGCTTGAGGCTGAGGGATGTCGATTCAAAACATACATGCAGCGTTGGAACGAGAGTTCAGATCAGGGCTTCCATCAGTATCATACTCGTGATTGCCAGCACCACCCCACCGGCTGCCTGACTGCCAAGCCACCACCACAGCGGGCACCGCCAGGACCACCTTCCACCGCCACCATCCCCACCACTGCCAACACCAGCGTTCATCTTCACTGCCATGCGTCGTCACTGTTGCTGTGTGCTGTTGCCGCCGCCGCAATGAAACCGGCGAAAACATAGGCATTTGCAACGGCGGTTCCTCGGTGCATGCGGACAACCTTGGCTCATTGAGGTTCCCCGTTTCCATCCTGTCCCCGAGGGTTGACAGAGCACCCATGCCCAAACTAAGATGACTCATGTGACCATCACATACGTTCATTAGAGCGTCCATGCCGAAGCCATGATGACTTCCGTGTTGCAGTAGTTGCAAGGAGTTGAAACTGGGTCGGAGCACAACCAACACCGCAAATCGTGGAGTTGAAGCAACAAACTCATTCCAAATCTGAAGCTGCTTTGCCTTTCAGAGCAAGTCCAAAGCATCAAGAACACAAGAACGCACAACCTGGAGACCGATGATTTCGATCAGAGCAAAAGAAATAGAAATCGCTCGAGCAAAACATTTTGACAATGCGAGGGTTTCCGTGCGCGCTGAGCGCGGAAGACGCCGTATGGGCTGTTGTCATGCGTACAAGCACCTGCGGCGCGTACAGCATGACATTTACTTTGGACGTCCTGCGCGCGAGCTTTCGGCTTAAGATGACCGCTTAGGTAGGGTAGTCTCCACCATGCGGGGCCTTGGTTCCTATGGCCCCCACCAAGCCGGACAACCTTAAGATGGTGCCATACCCGGCGCAGTGGAGAAACACGTTGTTTCGCATGGAAAAACGAAGACAACATCACCGCCCTGGAGATGCTGGACGTTGCGATGCCATGCGCGACACTTGGGCACCCAGGGATCCAGATTCTTTCGCGTTCTGGACTCCCAGGTGGTATAGCATATTATGGCGGAAGGGGCTCACAGGAAGCGGCTCAACAGGTTGGCAAGATGGATGATGACTGTTCAGCTGGGTGCTCAGTTTCAAACCCTGGCGCTCTGGACCATCTCAGCGTGGAACTTCGCGGATACTGCGTCCAGGAGGTTTGCCCTCACCATGGCTCCTAAGGCCAGATCCAGAGCCAACTGCCGCGGCGCCCTCCTTCGCTTTTTCGCTTTTTTTGTGAAAGAGGGCCTTCGCATGCCCATGTCGGTGAAAGAGCTGGGCTCAGCTCTACCTGATTTGATGAATGAATCCTTCCAGGAAGGAGATTCACCGGGGTATGCGGGGGCCGCCGTTTAGGTTCCTCCCCCGACTGCGGTCGGGACTGTACAATGCCACCCAGCTTTACTCCAACTGGATCAAAGTCTACAAGCCCTGCCGGCCACACCAGTTCATTGGTCCCTGGTCCAAGCCATGGCAGGCCTAGCGCTTTCGACGGGGCAGAGCCTCATTCACTTTCTTTTCTTTCTTCGGACTGCCGAAATTTACGGGCTGGGCCCAGAGATGTGCCCTGCCTTCGGAGCCGGCACGTCGTGGTGGCACTGCCACACACGAAGACGAATTGACTCATTGACTCGTGCTTGCAAGTTTTTCGAGCCAGATTCCAAAACGGGCATTTTTGCCCTAATTATGGGATCGAAGAGGAGGTACCACTTTTCAGTGGCAATGCTGCCAAAATTTTGAAGCAACAGTTCTCATGGGGAGATGGGCAGATCAGGAAAACTGCCGCATTTACTTGGATAAGGCTCGTGCACTGCTGGTGCAGCAACTGCTCGTTGTTTCTTCCGTCCCTCGCCTGCCGTTCCTTGTTCGCCAGTGCCATCAACTCCTCCTTCGGGGTTAGCGCTGCGCGAACAGGGCAACCGCTCCGCTTGTCTGGGAGTGGGAGTGCTTTGAGGTTGGGAGGCACGCCGCGGTGCAGTTTCACCTGTTGCCTGCCACCTGCGGGTGAGCCCAGGCTTTTGGCCGGGAGAAGGCTCCTCGCCAACCCCATGGCTTTTCACCCGTGTCTGTGGTACGTCCACGGTGCGCTGATGCTATAAACGGCTTCTGCGGCGTCCTCGTTTTCATTCCGTCCGGAACTTGTTGAGGTCGTGACACTGAGGACCGAAACACCACGCGCATTGACGGAAACGTGCTCACCGGTGCAGCGCAAATCGTCACAAGCTTTTACCGACCGCGGTCCGAACCGCCCTACGGCGCCACGGCCTGGACCCCTTCTCACCTTTGCAGGTTTCGTGGTTTCGTCCCCGAACCCATGAACACCAAGAGTTTCACCTCACACCGGCAACCTCAAGCCCCAAGACCTAAGCACCCCACAATCCCACCGTCCCACCCCTGATACACCCTGACTTGGCTCTGCCCAGGGCCAAGCCAAGGGCGAGGGTCGCTTCTTCGCGCTCTGTGACAGCTGCTACGAACGCACGGCGCTGGCGCCTGGCGAGCTCCACCCGGTGCCCGGGGCAAAAGGGGCGAGTCAGGAACCAGGGTTTCAGCAGTCAGTTCTGTGTTGAGAATTACTTATGTGATTGGGTGAACTGGGCTTGGGGACTTGGGATTTGGATGGACTTGGGCCGTGGGGTTGTCCGGATTGGGGCGAATCTCTTGGTGCTTCCGGGCTACGACGTACGGTAATATGGTTCGGACTGTTTGCTGGATGAGGCCGCAGAGCCTGCCTTTTTCCGAGACCTTTTGAACACTTTCTCTGCTACATTCCGCAAGCTTGAATCAAAGCCTGAACCCCACACCCTCAGCCCCAAATCTTAATCCCTTGTCCGGCACTGGCCTAGACTTTGCCCTTTACCTTCAATCCTGAGCCCTACTCCCTGAAATCCTCAGCTCGGGGTGCGCACAAACCAGACACAACACGGGAGAGCTTAAATACTGAAAGTCCGAACTGACTTGCTGCTTTATGCCCCTAACCCTTAAGCCTAAACTTTCTCTTGCGAGTCGAAAAAGGGCCGTTCAAAAAAAGAAAAACTTTCTACCAAGCCAAGCGGGAGGCAAACAAACGTCAAGCCTTCTTGAATTGGACCCCGTAGGCGCAAAAGTTGAGTCCGAGACGCGGAGACCTCTCCACACCGAAGTCCTAGGACTTCCGGCGGGCTGGAGTGGGCCCGGGCAGCTGTGAGATTCACTTGCTTCGCCGCTGGCCCGGCAGTTTTCGCGTTTCATTCAGGGTCTAGGGCTTTGGAGGTTCGGGTTCAGGGTCTAGGGCTGTAGGTTTCGTTCAAGGCTTCAATGTTTTGGGCTTTCGGGGTTTAGCGTTTGTGGTCTCGGGCGATAAGGTCAAACATGCAGGCATAGGGCGATTGTTTGCAGTATCCTGAGCCTCTCAACCCTAGAGCCCTAAAGCTGACGTGTTCGGTTTCGCTTGCTAAAAATGTGACCTTGCTAAAGCTGCCGACTCCGAACTACAAGCCTCAACTCGCTGGGCTAAAACAATGAAGTGTGAAGTGAGAACATCACTGGCTGCGTAGTGCGATAGGGAAAGTTGTGCCAATTCATGAACTAAGCTCTTGTCAAGAAGCTGCTGCACTACGCAGCCAATGATGTTGTGCATTTTCGCTAAAACCTCGCTGGACTAGTGGCCTGACAATCATCTTCGGAGCTTAAAGCGCAAAACCCTGACTTCAAAAACCTAAGTTCTAAACCCTACAAACCCCCAGTCTACAAACACCAAAGCGAACAGCACCCTGACCGGGGGAGTACTTTTCCGGGCACGCGGACGAGGAATTGGGCTTCACAGGTGTAGCTGTCTAGGGCTGAAGATTCATAGTTTCATTTTTATGCTTTTGGGTTCAGGGCTTAGGGTGGGGGTCTGGGAATGGACCTTTTCCAGCATAGCGGGCAGTTGTACGATGGTTGGCTTGGATTGTGCGTCCCCTCAGAGGCAGCATGGGGAGTTCTCCAGATGGAGGGCCCTCTTGGGCATTGGAGAAGAAGGGACCCTAATGAAGAGGCACCCACGTCTCGCAGAATGAAGTATGTATTTTCCAGCGAAGCTGAGAGCCGTAGTCTTGGACAACTCTCGGCTAGATCTCTGCACATTCCCGCGCCCGGACCCCAGGCCTCCCAAATTCATGCCCTCGCCTACACCGGCCAGCCTGAAGTCCGAGGCCTACGCAGCGACGCTGTGCCGGAGGCACCAGTTGCGCGGAAGCGGCGCGGGGCCGTGAGCAAGGGCACGAAGGTCGGTTTGTGTAGGGGAAGGGTGCGCAGAGATGGGATGACGAGTCTTGGGGGAGGAGGGGGGCTTAGACGTTGGAAACTTCCTATTATGCTTAACATAAGTTTTTGAGATCTGGGTCCAAACCTGGGGCAACCCCTGGTGTCAAATTCTGGGTTTTTGTTGGGCGAACCCGCTGTCAACGATTTGGTCCCAGGTTCAAGCTAGCAATAACCCTGAAAACACCTGGAAACCGAAACACTACTCATGAAACAAACCCCCAGCGCTTCAAGCCCCCACCATCACAGAAACAAGCGTCTTTGCCAGAAATCGAGTGTAAGCAACCAGCCCTTATTGCTGCCTCCCTCCCTCCCTCCCTCCCCCTCTCGCCCCGTCTGCCCCCCGCCCCTACCGACAGCTACCGACAGCTACACCTACCGACGGCCCGACCAACATATCCGTCGGTAGCCGTCGGTAGTTGTCGGTACCGTCGGGTGGCGGTGGCGGAGCGGGGGGGGCGGGGGGTGAGACGGCGGGCCGGCGGACCGGAGCGGGGCGGGCGGGGGCGGGGCGGGCAAGCCGGCGGGGCGGGGAGGGGTGGGGCGGAACGCGGTGGCCAGCGGGGGAAACCAGCCGGAGGGTGAGGAAGATCCAGCATCAAGCAGTAGTCTGCGGGATCTGCATCCGCTTGACTGTTTGCGGAATGAAGATAGGTCAGGTGCCGGAACTCAGGTTCAGGCGGAAGGCGAGAACCCTGTCCAGGCAAGAATCCAGTAAGGTCAGGTCTTGTGTGCTACTGAAATATTGGGGGTGGTTGCTATGGTGGCCCAGGTGGGACCCCAGGTGGACCCATGGTTCAGTAGGAGGGGGACAGTGTTAAGCATAACGAGGCCCCCTGAACATGTTTGCGTGATTCCCGCACCCCACCCCAGCCATCAGGCGTGCACCGGAAAGGGGGCTGGTATTAAGCATAATAGGAATTTTTCAACTTAGACGGATGACATAAGCCCCGAACCGTTACGGTCGAGTGCCTTTCGCCGTTGAGAGGTGAAGCGCGTGAGGTGCGCTGCAGCTCCGCCGAAGGATCTGAGTTGCACGAACTATCTTGCTTGGTGGGCTGTTCCTCATTGACATGTAATGTTGATGCCACAGACGTGGCAGTGTTAGGCATTGCCACTTGAGGACATGGGCTTGACGTGTATTCTGAATGTTCTGCTCTGCATGTTCGCCAGCGAAACCCAAACAAATCCTCATGTCTGACAGCGTGGCAGAAGCAGATGCAGAGCCAGGAGCTCGTTGCACCGTCAACATGCACAGATGGTCGCTTAGCAGATGCTACCTGCTACCTCTCTGTTGCCTCCCTGTTTAGAGCTGGGCATGGGTCGGGGCTCGGAGGCAGTCCGTAGCAAGTTCGGTTTTGTGTATGAGCTTAAGATACATCGGGAGGACAAAAGTTTTGACCTACTGGATCACCTACTGGATCTGTCTTGTCTTAAGACGTCTTGCGGAGGAGTGGAGCACGGAAAAGTGCGATTTACGTTGCCCCGCCAGCGGAGTATTTTATACCCGGTCTTAAGATTATGCTACGTTAATGTTCCGCAGGAGTAGCCGGTTGGTCCTGTTTCTCAGGATGCTATGGGGGAATGGGGCCCCGTGTTCAACGAAACAAGGAGTCGTCAAACTTTCGTCCTACCGCAGTAATAGCCTTGCATCGTGGATGCAGGCATGAGTCGCGAATCTTGCGTCCCAAGTTTTTGGGCCAACCCAACTGCCACAACTACCTCAACGAGCCTGTTGCATACGCTGCGCGCAAGTAAAAATCTTTGAACCTGGATTCCCTGAAACCCTCCTCAAAAGGCTGCAGCCGAAGCCGGCGTTGGTCTTCTGAATACGCAAACCCGAAAGGCCAAGCCCCAGGCCCCAACCCAAAACTCGAGGTCCGGGTGCAGCAAGGGTTCGACAAGGCAAGCGCCTGAAGAAGGTGCTCGCTGAGGGCAGATCGTGGCTTCGAATTCTAGGAACAAGCTTGAGGAAACACAGTGCTTTCTACTGGCCTATTTTCTTTTCTGGAATTAAGGTTGGGGCATGCTGTGAGGTACGGAATCGCGTCATATCGCGTCTGGGCTTCATTGAGGGACAGGGATTAAGATGTCGGGTGCAGGGTTGTCCAGCTCTGAACCCAAAACCCTACGTGTTGTCCATCCTTGCAGGTCAAAGCCCGCGAGCGCCCTGCATCTCGGAGCCTTCCGAAAAGCAGCAAGCGGCGTCGCAACTCGCAGCGAGGGAAAGTGACGAAGATATCTGACAGCGATGCTGGTTATCACGGTAATGTGCGTTCATGCTCGAGGTTATGACTCTGAGTAAGAATGTTTCTCATTCCTGCCCAGTCCTGCCTCCATGTTTGGAGATGTGCTCTTTTCACCCCATTGCCCGGGCAACGCTATGCCCTGACACAGCCACGGCGTCGTGTGATGAGCTGTATCGGCGTTTAGGGTGTAGCACCAGATGCTAATGAAGTAAGGTTCATGTTTTGAGAGTTTAGGGCTTGGAAGCTGGGACAGGTTACGAGAAAGGTGCATGTGACGATCAAGCCAATGAATAGCACCGTCGTCTCCATCACCGTCACGATCCGCGTCGCCATCACCACCCTCACCACCCTCACCACCCTCACCACCCTCACCACCCTCACCATCGCGATGAGCGTCTGCATGATTACTTGGCCAGGCTGCAACTGTTTTTCTGCAGCGGTTACGGCATGGCTCACCCTGCGCAGGTCGCAGCCATCATTAAATCCGCCCAGCAGTCGGTCCAGGCCGTTCGCAAGGAGGTCGGGCCGGGCTCTTCTAGCGTTGAAGCTTCGGGAGGTCCAGAAAATCCGTCCCTCTTCGTCTAAACCCATGCTTACACAAGCAAGATCTCTTTATGAGCAGAAGCTTGCTTTCTCATGGTGCAGCCACTAAACAAACACTCGTGGATCCTGAGCCTGCTCGGCTGGCAAAGCCTAGGCACTGCTGCTGCTGCTGCCACTGCTCCTGCTCCTGCTCCGCCTGCTCCTGCTTCTGTTAGGGCTACTGCTCCTGCTACTACTACTACTACTACTGCTACTACTACTGCTACTACTGCTACTGCTAAAGATTTTGGCTCAAGCCTCTATTGTTTCGTCAGCGGAAAGCTAGTTGTCGCTCTGGAGACCGATTGCAACAGCGATCGGTTCGTCATCCTACCGTCCTCTCCGTCATCTTCTCCCCCCCCCCCCCCCCCCCCCCTCTCTCTCTCTCCCTCTCCTCTCTCCTCCCCCCTGCACTGATCCTCCTTGCACTGTCTGCCTTCTTGCCTTGAGCACTGTCTGTTTCCTTGCCTTGTACTGCCTGTCCTACCCTTGCCATGCCTCGAACGGAAAACACTGATGCTAAGGAAAGAGGACGAGGGAGAGAGAGAAGTCGTGGGAACCGAGGAGAGGATAAAGCTGAGCGAGGTACCGAACGGACTCAACTACCCAGGGTAGGACCCACCGTCGGAAGCCACCATAACATCTTGGAGCATGGACCCTCCACTGAAGCCGTGAGGCCTCCTAGTTCTGACCCCGGAACCCGTAAATCCCCCGACAACAAGAAAATCAAGCTTGAACCTAAGGAACAAGCCGACACCCAACCCGACTCAGAGATGCCTGACCAAGCGGCAGCTGTCCATCCTTTTCTCAGGCTTGACCACAGCTCGGTCTTCCGACCCCACGAAACGTTTGACCTCACTTCAGGTGACGACGATGAGCTCAACACAAGCAGGTCCCCTGAGCTACCCGGTCAGGGAGGAGGTGCCGCACCTAACTCAGAACCCACCAGGCCTTTCGCAACACTGACGGAACAGGCACCCCCACCGCCGGCATGGATTCAGGACATTGTCGAGAGCTTAAAAGGACTACACATGAAGAGTGATCAAACCCACCGCTACTGCCTTGACCTTGGGGCCACCGTAGGACAACATGATGTCAGGCTTGAGGCTCTCGAAAGCACGACGAAAGCACACACGGAACAGCATGAGAGCACGGATGCCAGGATCTCAGCCCTCGAGAAAGTTGTAGGGGACCTTGAAAGAAAGGCCAGATCGCTCACCCCCCCGCGGGGGGGCTCCGACACGCCACGGGGCTCCAGAGCAGGCAACATCAGCCCTCGCAGTCCCCGAGGGGGAGGTCCTCCTTTGGACGTTTTTCGTGACCCGGCTCAGGACCTAGGTTTGGTTATAGGGGGGTGGACTGACGCGAGGGTGCCTGAAGCAGAAACAGAGGTTCAGAACTTGTTCACCGAGGCAGGCTTCCAGGGGGCGATTCTTGATTTCTCAGGACCCTCGGGACGCACTAACTTCCTGAGGATTTCGCTTGACTTCCAAGGCTTGGGCATCACGGAACTTGGTAAAAAACGAATGTATCAAACTCAGATTGTGAACAAGCTCAAAGCCCTGAAAGCCAAGAGTGGCATTGTAGGACAAGAAGATGCTAACTTGTGGATCCAGCGCGACCGCTCAGTAGAGGAACGACTTCGTATCCGAGCCATTGTGTTGGCCAAAAACTTTTACAATGCCCTGCCCCTGAAGGATGATAAGCAAACCAGGTGGCCGGACCCGGAAATAGTGTGGCGAGGCCAGCTGTTCGTCGGGCAGGTACGAACCCTTAAGAATATGGACGACGGCCATGAACCTGCAGCCTATGACCAAATCATCGAAGATGTAAAGGGCAACCATACTGTCTGGTTTCTGTGTGCAGATTCGTACGCCAAGATCACGGGACGCGACAAGGAGTCCCTACAGCAGATGTGGCAGGACTTCGGACCAAGTGCTACCCCCATGGGGGCCCGCGCTTGACAAACCGCAGCGACGCGAAAGGCGAGAGGACGAGCCGACCTGCATGCTATTTCTTGGAATTTGAGGGGTAAAGGTCTTGAGGACGTTGCCCGTACTTGGGATGTTCTTGGTTTTCAGGGATCCCACGTAATTGGCTTGCAAGAGGTGGGTTCGCTTCCACAGTCATGCCCCACACACGACACTGTACTCCACCACGAACTCAAACTAGCCGGACAATCCTATACATTCTTTTTTTGTGATCCATCGCACTCGTGGAGAGGGGCTGCCTTAGGCATCCCCACTAGTTGGCTTGGCCAAGTCGAAAAGACGACATCCTTTTGCACTGGTCTGGGAGTGATGCTCCGTGACCAAGGCACCCGACAATTCTTCGCGACAGCCCACATGCCCCATTCGTTACGCAAAGATCACATGCCCGTTTGGCAGCAACAGACCGAAGAACTTTTGCAGTTTTGTGCGAATCGCAGGTATCACGACACCATTTGTTTGTGCTGTGACCTTAATTATGACATTCTGGACATTGTTAACGTCGATGAGCGAGGCGTGCCTCTGGGACAGCTCCTGAGGACACTGAACCTCGAACACACACGGCCCTTAGAGCCGACATGGAGAAATACCACGGGGTCTGCTTCTAGGATCGATTTCATCCTCTTTGCCATGCCATCGCTTGAAAGTCGAGACGACCGAGTGGTGTCGGGTTCGGACGAGGTCCTGGGCTCAGATCATTGTGCAGTCAGCATTGCTCTACGGTCGTGCCTCCCCACCAGAGGACGCGCCTCCTTTAAGCCCTCTAAATGTGGAAAGTGGTGGACGGATGGCCCGGCCCTTCAAACCAAAGCCGAACAACTTGCGGAGAAACTTGACCTGAGTATGAATGACCTGTCTATGCAAGACCTTGAGGGCCTTTGTGAGGCGACCTCCAAGCGAGTAACAAGCTGTAGATACGTAGACTCGCCGGCCATCAAAGACATGATCAAGGCTCGCAAGCGGCTCCGTGGTAAGGAAGCCCAGCAAATGGCTAAGAGCATTGCCGACGCGAGAAAGACAGACAAGCGAGAGTGGCTGGTCCGTCTACTTGAGCAAAGTGCCGCGGGAGACTTCCGGGCGGCTGCATATTTTCGCAAGAGACAGTCTACCATGTTTGTGCAAGGATCGTACTGTATGAGAGCAGGAGGGAAAGCCAAGGCCATCAGCGACCTACGCTTCTTCTATCAAAGAAAGTACACCCCCCTTGAACCGCCCCAACCGGGACTACCCATGGCCATCTTTCATTGCAGAGCTGGACCCATCATGAACCCTGAACCGTTCACCCTGCAGGAGATACAGGAAGTGGCCTTCCAGTGCAAGCACAACAAAAGCACAGGGGCCGACGGCATCTCATACGAAGCCCTTCAGATGTTGCTTCAATCTGACCTGAGTCATCACATCATGGACATGTTCAACAGCGTGCTTCAAAGCCTGCGCCCCCCCCCACCCAGCTGGCTCACTAGCCACGTATGCTTCCTCCCGAAAACCACACACCCATCGGCGCCAGGAGATCTGAGGCCCATCGTCTTGTCGAGTACTGCTGCCAAGGTGTTCACCAAGGCACTGATGCTCCGCCTGAGGCCCAAGTTGCCGCGGATGCAGGCTTTCCAAGTGGGAGGCTTACCCAAGAGGCAAACCCTTGACGCCGCTTGTGCGGTACAACACGCAATAAGGCTTGCCGAAGAGTATGGGAAACCGCTGATCATCATCAAGCTGGATGTGGCAGCAGCGTTTGACTCGCTGTCGCACGAAGCAGTGGCTGCACTGCTGGCAACTGCACAGGGCTCCCGGGAAGCTGAGTTGCTGCTTCAGATCGTGTTAGAGAGTCGGGTGGAACTTGGTCTTCAGGGCACAACGTGGGAGCAACAATTGCGCCAGGGCATATTGCAGGGCAGTAGTTATAGTGCGGAACTGTTCGCGCGTTGCATTGACTACTTCCTCACCCCGACAAATGCCAAGTGGCAAGACATCGAGGAATCCTGGCTGAAGGACCCTAGCGGGCGTAAGCTTTTTCTCACCCCCTTTGCTGATGACCTGGTTTTGTTGGCGACTTCGAGGGCACAAGCACAAAGACTTCTTAGTGACAGTGAAGCCACACTTCAAGCCATTGGCCTGAGGTTCAACGCCAAGAAGTGCAAATACCTGCAAACGCCTGGATTCCCGGAGGAACCCCTCAACCTCTCGGCAGGTGAGGTAAAGTATGAATCGACGTTCCTTTTTCTGGGTATCCTCATGGGCTTTCAGCTGACATGCCTCATGATCTTGCAGGCACGTATGGCCAAGGTCTCGAGCGCCTTTTGGGCGTACTACAGCATACTGAGGCGTGCAGAAGTCGGGTTGACGAGAAGGCTCAGAGTATTCGACTGTTTCATCACAGCTCGTTGGAGGTGGATTAGCCCGGCCATCCGGCCCATCAGCACGGTTCACAGGTTCCTGCGCACTATCCACACTTCCTTCCTCACAGCTATGCTCCGTTTTGCCCGGGATCCGTTCCAGGGGGCGGTGGAGTCGTGGGTGGCGCGACGCAGGGCTGCTCGACTAGCTGCACAGCAAGTCCATCATCGCGCGTGGCCGGGGGAGCATTCTCGCCAATTTTTCGGCTTTTGGGGCCATGCTGCCCGCTATGCCGTGAGTGACTATATACCCATAGCATTGATGTTGCAGGTGCGAGGCCCTACCTGGTATTTCGCTAATCGAGACTGGCATAAACGCTTGCCAGGTAAATGGGCCAACACCTCTAGGTTCCTGCAGATAGCTTGGGAGAAATTCCTGCTTAGGCAAGGCAGATCGCCCCCAACCTCGTGGCTTGAAGGAGCAGCAGATCGAGACCTTTGGAAGGCCTTCTCCCAGGACTGGGCCTGCACCCACGATGCGGACCCGACGGTCTTCTATGCAGGCCCCCCAGAAAAGGTCGACCTACTTGGATGCCAACTGGTACAGAGCGAAGACCGCTTTACCCTGCTCCCCACTAGGCATGTCCCGGTAGAGGCCCCATACAGCACCTCATTCATGCGCATCAGCAACCCCCTGGACAACCAGATCCAGGACCATGGACAACAGGAACATATCCTGCGCGTGTATACGGATGGGAGTGCCCAACAAGGCCGCAAAGGACAGCCCCAGGGCGGGGGCAGCTCCGTAGTTGTGCTTGCACCATACTCGCTAGTCGAGGAGGCTACGGTTTGCTATTTTAAGGTCCCACAGCCCTGTACTAACATACAAGCCGAACTGCACGCCGCTGTCCAAGCCCTGCAGATGGTGCGCCGAATCCGGCAGCACTTCCCACATGTGCCGGTACAGCTTTTCACAGATTCGCAGTATGTGGTTCAGGTTCTTGAGGGATCCTTTTTAGGGACGCACCATGCTTCAGTCACGAATATGCTGATCCACCTCTGGAAGGAGCTTTGCCTGACTGTGGAGGTCCACCATGTACGAGCACACCAGGGGATTATGCTCAACGAAGTAGCAGATCATTTCGCCAAGCTTGCATGCACTCTAGGACATTCTCGGAAGGTTTTTTGCCGTTTGAGTTTCAGCCAGGCTTTCATGACAGATCAATCCGACTCTGGTGGCTTTCTGTCATGGCTATCGTGAACCTTGTTCCCTTGCGCCCTTGCTTCCTTGCACTGTCTCACCTCCCTTGTCCTTTGCGTCCTCCTTGCACTGTTTCTGCACTGCCTGTCCTTGCCTATTGAACTGTTATGCGAGACCTCCTTGTCTCTAACCCCCACAAAAAAAAAAAAAAAAAGAGAGTGCCAAACCGAAACCCTCAAGCCATCTCGACGTTATCGAGCTTCACCCGCCACCTTCATGCCATCGCTCCATCTACGTTCTCCCTAGGGCAACAGGAAACGAGTAATGCTACATCGAAGCCCTCAGGCCATCGTTCCATTGTCGACAGCTTTCCCAAAAACACCCGGAAGCCCAAACCTTCACGCCTATAGCTTCATCCTATTTTTCCTACATACCCGGAACCCTCATGCCAGCATCATCACATACAGGAAACCTCCAGGCCAACATCATCTCCGTTTTCCCACGTGCTCACACCTCTCTCCGAAAACCTTCATGCCAGCATCACAGCAATGTTTTCCACTGTCACCTCTCCTCAAATCACCCCGGAACTTCTCATGCCAACATCATGACAACATACCCCGGAAACCTCCAGGCCAACATCATCTTCGTTTTCCCGCGTATTCGTAGACCTCTCTCCGAAAACCTTCAGGCCAGCATCATCTTTGTTTTCCCACGTATTCACACCTCTCTCCGAAAACCTTCATGCCAACATCACAGCAATGTTTTCCCACGTCCCTTCATGCCAACATCACGACAACACACCCTGGAAACCTTCAGGCCAACATCATCCTCGTTTTCCCACGTATTCGCAGACCTCTCCGAAAACCTTCATGCCAACATCATCCCAATGCTTTCTCCTGTCACCTCTCCCCAATCCACCCCGGCACTTTTATGCCAACATCATGATGACATGTCTAGGCTGGAAAGCAGGGGGGGGGCAGGTCAGGCAAGAAATTGCCGCACACATGTCTTATGCAGACCGTTATCTGACAGTTCTGTAGCGACTCAGGTCCAAGTATCCCCAGCATCCCTACTCGTGCCTCCTCCGTGTTGAGATGGAGCCAGTGACGGAACAGGTCCAGGAATTCCTGGAGCGCGCCCAAGCAGTGCCAGTGCTCAGTCTGCACTCACTTGTGACGTCGCAACAGCTGTTCTTGACGTTTGGAGTTGCTACTCTCTCAGTCTTGCTCTTCTACTTCTTTCTGCGCCGCAGCTTGAGCCATGCGCTCTGCAACGACCTGCAGCAGATGATAGGGACAGGACCCCACTCGGCTGGGGACTCGCCAGCAGGACTGACGGCCATGCAACAGTGCTTGCAGGCCCTGGATGACACGGTCCCGGGCCTCCTGACCTCCATCCAGGAAACCATGAATACCCTTTCAGGAGCAGTCACACACCATGGATCCCTATTGGTGCAACTGCGGCAAGATGTGACCGCGCTGACGACTACAACAACCAGCCATGACACACTGCTGCAGCAACTGGACCAAGGGGTGAAAGACATGGGTGCCGTCTCGGGCACAGAGATCTCTGCGCTCCTCAAGGAACTTGGCTCACTCATGGGGTCTCTCCAACAGCTGACCCCGGCTGCGTCGGCCCAGTTCTTGAAGGACGTCAAAGGGGCCCTGGAAACGAGAATGTCGACACTTCAGGACACGCTCATGGAACTGAGCATATCCGCCACCACCTTGAAGACGCGCAAGGTGACGGTGGACATCACACCCTTCAAGGAGCAGTTTGATGGCATCAAGGACCAGCTGGCCAACATGCTCGCCAAGGTCGACCAAGCTCTTGGGTATATGAGAGACGACCATGCCCTGATCGTCCGCCTCAAGGACAAGCTCGAGGAAACCAAGAGCGACGGCGAAAAGCACAAGGCAGCCCTCCAGGGAGACATCCGGAACATCGTCGCCCTAGTACGAGGACTAGAAAAGACGTGTGCGCAGGCCTCGGACTTCAGCGAGAAAGCTCTGAATGTCATCGCCAAAGGCAACCCCAGCCCGTGGGAGACAGAGCTCAAGAACGTGGTCGACGAGACGGAGAAGCTCCTCAGGTGGGTCGCAGGACAGGAAGAAGCCCTGGCGGACCGGGCTCAGAAGATCGAAAGTATGTGCACAGGGTTGGTGGACCAGCTCACCGACGTCTCCACCGCCCTGGAGAACCACAGCTCGGTGATGGGACAAAGACTTCGCCTACTCAACGAAGTCCAAGGCGGGGTGGAAAAGGTCCTACATGCCCTTCCACCTCGACAGAACCAGGCAGCGAGCGGAGCCAGTGGACCGAACCAGCCACCGCCTATGCAACCGGCCCCGCATTTGGGCCCACATGGCTGGGTACAGAGAGGGCCACCACCAGCCCCCGCCCACACACCGACAGTCTACACGGAGTGGGACAGACCTTCATCCAGCGCGAGACCGGCACCAGTGATCGTCACCAGCATGGACACTCTGGCAACGGCCTTGCAGCAGCACTCACAACACATGTAGGCGGTATGCTGTGCATAGTGTCGCCACGGTGGAGCCATGGCCTGAAATCGCAGTGTCATTTTCAGCGGATTGCCGTAGCAGCTGGCACACCCCTGGTACTTTGTCTAGGTGTGGTGTTGCATGTAGCGCCGAGCTTAGTCTTCAAATCTGGGGGCCAAACCACGCTGCAACTGCACTGCTGCTGCCTGCCACTGCCTTTGCACTGCCTTCCTTGCGCTGTACTTTACTTGCACTGACTGTTTTCCTTTTCCTTGCCGCCACCTGCACTGCGCGACTCCTTGACACCGACCGCAGCAAAAAAGAGAGACCGCGCCGGCGTCAATCATGTGGTTGGAGAGCCATGGCTGAGCTGCACGTACTTATTGAGCTTGATCGTCAGACTTGTCGGTTCAAAGGTAAGGTAGGGGGTCTTTTGTGTGCAGTGCTGTCGCATGTCGTTTCTCAGTCTCCAGCCGTCTTTAGGACGAACTATTGATTTGAGGACCCCGAGACCACGTAACAAACCAGGCCCAGAGCTCTCCCAAGAAGAGCACCAGGCAGCCACACCATGTCATACATGCGTTGCACCCCTGCCCCCCTCACTTCATCCCGACCACAGCGATCATCGAATCCGACATGTCGAAGCCGAAGCCTTCCGAGTTCTTCAGTTAGACCGACCACCGTGCCAACTTGACATCATACGTATGTTTCACATGATACCAGCCACCTTTCGCAAACGTGCTGAGCGAGGAAGTGGTACCTACGTGGTAGGAGGGGCTAGCCCTAGATGCAGTGACTCAGTTCTAACACATTCCCTTGACATGCCGCTGTTCAACCTAGCCGTCAACCAGCATCTTAAGTGGATTGCCCCGCTTCATACCTACACTACGTATGTCATACGACGAGGCTGTATTGATCGTGTTCACCGTGACACCCGGAATGCCCCCACGCCCTCCCTTGTCATAGCTCTCAATACTCCCGACTGGAACAACGACGGCCTATGGATACAGGACCCTCAAGGCACAGTTCCTAAGGAGCACCAAGGAACCCAACTGTGGGGTAGAGTCGAGAGCCTTCGTAAACCCCTTGTCTTCAACCCCCGTAAAGTACTCCACGCCGGCCACGTTGCGAGTCCCGACAGGTCCCATGAGCGCCTCATACTCGTTGCATTTTCGGTACTTCAGGCTTCAGTTCTGACTTTGGGAGTTCAGGAACATCTTCGGAACCTTAGGTTTCCTCTCCCGTCCCCGCTGGAGCTTCATGTTGCCTTGCACGGGTCCCTACCGCGCCTTAAACAACAGAGCCTGCACACCTTTTTCAACAAGCACAAACATGTAGTGGACTTGCATGAGGTTGTCGAGGTAGCAGAGTCCCAGTGCGCATAACCCGTAGTGGCCCCGTGTGTAAAACGCTGGGCCCACTAAGGATCGGCAACTCGGCTGCAAAAAAAAAAAAAAAAACACAACACAACCTTTTGCACTGTCAACCTTTTGCACTGTTTTCCTTTGCACTGCCTTCCTTGCCTTCCTGTTTCACTGCACTGTGCACTGCCTGCCCTGAGTTCCTTTGATGCCTTCGTTGTCTGCCCTAACTGCGTCTCTCTCTCGGCTAGTCGCTAGCTGTCCTCCGTCTCTCGGTCGTCCCCACCGTCCAACTGGTTTGTTGTGCAACGGTCTCCGGATAACTAGACCCCCATGTTGTGATATTTCCTTGTCACCCCCCCTAAGCAACCACTAACCAACCTGTCACGCCGCCATGGCCGCTGGTGCTTCTGACCGCCTCACACTTGGGCCCCTTGCGCAACTGGTGGCAAATGTGAACGGTGGGCCGCGCTGCCTTACCTCTTTCTGGAAAGCCGAACATCATATGCAACGTTGGTGAACGGTGGGCCGCGCTGCCTTACCTCTTTCTGGAAAGCTGAACAGCACCTGCACAGTTGGTCCGTGATAAGAGGGACTGCTTGAGGTTGCTCGTGATGGCGTTCGGGATGCCACGTCTTTCGCAAGACTGGAGATACTCGCAAATGGTGGGCCACGAAGCCTTGCCCCTTCCTGGCCTGCTGAGCAACACACCAGCAGCAACGAGTTTGGGCTACCAGGGACTACTGAAAGGTGCTCGAGGCTGCTCGAGCTTGGACTCTGGACGCAGTGGACTGACTCAGTTGACTTTGGGCTGATGCATTGGGTCAGCCGGACCACTGCTGAACACAGTTGAGCGGCAGCGAGCTGTGCGTGACATCAGCATGCAGCCGTTGATCTGGAGTGAGTTGCGAGTGACATCAGATCAGCATGCTGGCACTTGCACCTTTCTGGGATGGAGGCCATCAGCCTGGCAGGAAATACCTGGTTCCGGACGATGTGAGAGCATGAAAAGCATCTGGCAACCAGGGTCCGGATCGGGGCGGATGTCGCTGGGGACTGCCTTCTGACAGTCGTCAGTCCACTGCATTTCGCTACACCTGCCAATGACGTTTGCTGAGACGACGGTATGCTGAGACGATGGTATGTAGTGAGTAGTGGGTGCAATCGTGCCTGGGCAATGTACTGGTAGCGCATGCGGCATGTTTGTACTTGTTTGGTTGGTTGTTCAACGGCAGCCGTAACTTACCTCCACGCTGTACTGGGCACCATTGCACCGTAGCTGCTGTTGTAGTTTCGTCGCTGTTCTGTACTGCACTCCTCCCTTGTAGAACTGCCTTGCGATGGGGTCGAAGCGAACTGGGACTTCACCCCTCCCGAAACATAGATCTTTGAAGCTCTCCACACAATGGTTTTTGGATGCTGATAGGTTGCCTGGTTGCGTAGTGTGGTGAGTTTCCTAGTTCTATGTAGCCGAGTGAGACTTGTTGCCTGCAGCGCGGGTTCGCGAGAGTCCGACAAGTGGGAGCCAAAACTGCTACTGCTACTACTACTACTACTACTACTACTACTACTACTACTACTACTGCTACTACTACTACTACTACTACTACTACTACTACTTCTCCTACTATTACTACTACTACTACTACTACTACTACTACTACTACTACTACTACTACTACTACTACTACTACTACTACTACTGCCAGGTGGGTGACAAAAACTACTACTACCACTACTCGCTGCTGCTGCTGCTGCTGCTGCCACTCCTGCTGATGCTGCTGCTGCTACTACTACTACTACCACCACTACTGGGTGACAAAAAACTACCACTACTACCACTACTACTACTACTACTACTACTACTACTACTGCTACTGCTACTGCTACTGCTACTGCTACTGCTACTATTACGACGACGACGACTACAACTACTGCAACTACTGCGACGACGACGGCTACATTTACAACTACGACTACAACAAGTGCTACAAAGACAAAAATAGAAGTGGTTGCTGTCGTCGTCGTAGTAGTAGTAGCAGTAGTTGTAGTGGTAGCAACAAGACGACGAGCAACAAGACGGCGGCGACTACATCGACGAACGTTACCACTGCCACTGCCATCGTCATTGGTACTGCGATTTCCTCCACCACTCAGGTAAACCTCGTTTGTGGTTGGTACAGACTGCATAGTAGTGACTGCTGGTGCTGTCCCGCAGAAGTTTCAATCAAGGCCGCCGATATGCGGGAAGGTGCCAAGCTCGGATGCCTTTGGATTGTTTAGGGCTTTTCAGGGATTGGCTGATTTTGGGTTGTCTGGGAGTCTGGTGGGCTTCGGGAAGGGAGTGTTCTGGAGGATTTAAAGGCTTTAGCGGTTCGGAGGCTACGGCTTAATTGACGGACTCTCCAAATCTAGTAGCAAAGGGTGGCTACCCTCAGCTGAAGGCAGAAGCTTTCGATGATGAGGATGGTGATCTTGAGTGTATTTATATGAATATATATATATATATATATATATCTATATATATATATATATATACATGGTGATGATGATGCGAGGATGCTGATGGTAATGACACCGGTGCTGTTGCACGTGGTGTTATGGATTTGCCTTCTTGTTGTTCTGACTTCCTCCAGAGTCATTTGCCACAGTTGTGTTGGTGGTTCTAGTGCTGCTGTTCTTCTTGCCAGTGCTTCATGATGAAGAACACATGTGCGATTGATGCAGCCAGCGCCCCTCTTATTCCATCCTTGCCACAGCAGCATCAGCAGCATCAGCAGCAGCAGCAGCAGCAGTTGTCAGTCACCTTGATTCTATAAGGTCCGTGGCCACGGGTTCTGCAATTTAATTTGTTCATGTGCTACTGTTTGTCTCCCCCTCTCATTGTTTCACTCCCCGTGAGCATCTGAGGCATAGAAGCCGATCTTAAGACTTGGCTGGGCAATGAGTGCAAGCCACTGGCTCCGGCCCCAGGGACGCTGTTGAGGTGCCCGAGGCCGTCCAACCTTTCCTAAAGTTGGAGCATAGATGAGGGGAGTTTCATGCTCCTTCTCCCAGTGTTCTAGATTTGAGTGTCAGGGAATGGGCCAGCTTCCTGGCTTCTTTAATGGAGCCCTGTTTGGCGCTTCCGGGATGCAGGGTTCCAGCAGCGAGGACGCAGGAGCGGCTCGGGAGCGGATGCCGCCTCGTAGACGGGCCGAGGGTTGGGGGGGCCCAAGGCCTTAGGTAAGGCCACGGAGTCGCAGTCTTTGCGGTTGAGGGCTGTCGAGCTGCAAAAAGGCACTGTTGAAGCTTGCTCTGAAATACAATTACAGTAGCCACAATCGGCAGTGTCGAAGCCAGCATCAAAGCCTGTCCGTGTCTGCTTGTGCTAGATACATCAACACGATAATTCATCAGCCTCATTTCATGTTTGCCGACGTCAACATGGAATGTGTAGTACTTAGTAGTGGTAGCCTTTGACGTTGTAGTTTCGGTCGTTTCTGTTTTTGTCGTGACAAGCAATTATGATCACCCCCCACGTCTTGCCTTGCTGAGGACGGCAAGTGCACAGGCTTCGAGCGAAGGATACGTGATGCAGAAAGGAAGTATCTTGGCCGAGCTCGTCAGTTCGAAAAGCCCCGACAATAACATCATCAAGCCCTCGAAGAGCATCATGTC